TTGCTGATAAAGTGTGAATTCGCGAAAGAGGTGTGGTTGATCCTATGCAGAAACAAACCTGGTTTGTTTCCCAGGGGAAGGGATATCGCCTAGAATGTTAATCTCGCTCCCAAGTCCAGTCCGGAAAACACTGATGAGTGGTTCAGAGATTGCATTCTCCACTCCGCTTGGCGGGTGGTGTGGCTTGAAAGAGATCGTGGTACGTTCGAGGATAAAGCTTTGACTGCATTTGTGGTGGCCAAGTTAGCGGGAAGGAATGTGATGGAATGGCTGGTGGCACATGGGAAGGTTGAGAAATATCAAGGAGCGAATTGGTTGAAAGATGCTCTGATAGGAGGTTAATAGAGGCCCGATTTCCTCTGGGTTTCTGTGTTGCTGGGGTACAGCCTTGGGATGTCGGATGCCTGGATTTATCGGGGTTTCTTCTTCTGGATTTGAGATCCGGTTCACTGCAACTTTACCCGTGTTCTCTTTGGAAATGATGGAAGGCGTGGAGGTCGTGGGTGGTTTCCTTTGGCTCGCTTCTTGGTCCGGCTGATGTCGTTGGGGGTGATGCATGTTGTTTTGTGCTTTTCTTGCTGGGTGGGGTTTCCCCCTTGGCTCGCCCTGCCTGTGTTTGAGGTTGAGTTTTTGTTTTGATTATGGCTTGTTGTTCACTCAACAAAAGTGGCTTGGTCCACTGAGTTGGGTTTTCCTTTCTTGTGTTTGGGATTTTCTTTCACTTTGTCTTCCTCTGTTTGGCGGATCGGTTGTGTGGTTCATATCTTGTGAACCTTTCCACCCGGTTTGTTTCAAATGCTTTTTTTTCCTTTTTGTCTTTTTTTAATAAAATTTTAACCATTATAAAAAAAGAACCGCACACAATCCTCCTATGTAGAACCTCAATGGAGCTCAAAAGCAAGAGCTCTGGGACACAAGGACAACACATGTATAAACACGAAGAAAGGATGAGGGGTCATTCTATTAACAATATTAAGCTCACAAGCACAATGCTCCTAACATAAGAATGACCCCCAAAGTCACAAGGCTCAAAGGGGTTGACTAGTGGATAATTCATTCAAGACAATCAACATTTGGGCGTGGACTAATCTTATGCCTCCATCATACTCACTAGTGACAACTGTGATGTTACTCGCCATGGTAAGAGGGATCTAAGCACACAAGAAGAAAATGATAGGCTCGAAGCTCACATGGCTACCTAGTCACCCAACCATCTATTCCAATTCACAAAGCAACATGCATTACAATTGAAATCAACAAGTAATCGAGTCAAAACATTCATTCGTTTTTGCACACATGAGAACTAAACCTTTGCACTGTCCTAATGCACCTCTCAATCATCATCATAGGACATACTCGATCACATGCAACAATTCAAGGTCAATGCCAATAACCACAAGATTCTCCTACAAACCGGCCACTTTGATCATGCAAACATTGCTTAGAGCCCTCAAAATTTTCAAATTTGGGCATAAATCAAGGCTCCAAGCATCGATCACACTCACTCACACAAGCATAAAAGTAGACTACCCCCCCCCCCCCTCCCCCACACTTAAGCTCGACATTGCCGTCAATGGCGTAACGTGCTCTCCCTCTCGCTCCGGGTAAACTTCTCGATGGAGGTTAACGTCAATTATGTAATGATCAACTCTCATAGTTGACTGCCACATCAGTCAAGGTTAACAGAGACTAACGGAGAGTGACCAAACTTGAACTATTGAACTAGTTTTAGTGACCATGAATGGAAATAAACTAATTTTAGTGGCAAACGTGAAACTTTTTAGTAATTCTAGTGACCAAACTAATAATTTTACCTTATTCCTTGTAAATAAAAGCACAAGAATTTCTTCGAGCAGTCACTGCAAATCACCAACTTTGATCCTCAAACTAGGGAGAAGTCATGGTTGATGTCTTCTGTCTCTCAACACGAAAATGAAGTAAAAATGCGAGAAATTCCATTTATATTTTGCTTCTTTTCTTCTCTAGGTTGAACCAGATCCTTGTACTCTATTTTTTTCATTGCTCTGTTCGCTCTAAGGTAACTTGCAGGGAAGGTTGTAGATCCGAATTATGTTGGAAGGGATACTTGAAGATAGTGAGAGGGGTCTGCGAAGAGTAGGAGTAGGATTCCGTTATGGCAGAATTGCAAGGCAAGAACATGTTTCAGAATTCTCTTTAGAAGCCTAAAGTTAGAGAATCCATCATTTGTTGTCCCCATAGCCTGTGGCCACACCGTAGCTTCCAGCTAGAAATTGAATCCATCATTTTCCACCTAACCTAGGATTTGCATGGTTGGATGGGTCAGAGACACCTAGAATAGAGTTCTCATGAATCCGTCGTTGTCCTGATCGGACTGAGATTGAGTGGCAAACATGTTGTTTTGCTATAAGCTTGGTGGAAAGAAACTATCAATTGTTGCCGAAGGAATAAATAATATGGTCTTCTATTTAATGCTCTAAGAATTTGAATTTAATGCCCTAAATTGACTTTTACGACAATTTTTCCCCTAGTTCAAAAATAACCTAAACCTTAAACAATCTAACCTAGAGACCAGCTAAACTTAGCGCCCAGTCACCAGACCACCAACCCCTTCCCCTCCCTCATCTCTTTAATAGCCCAAACCCGCCATTGCCGTCGCTGCCTACCTCTCCCCCAAACCCGCCGCGGCGACCACCTCTCGTTGACCTGTCGCAGAAGAGCGAGTCGAGGAGGAAGGAATGGTTGTTGATCATTGTTTCCGTTGGATGAGGAAGGAGACGAAGCCCCTAGGTGTGCCATCGCTCGTCGTCGATGGTGGATGAGGAAGGAGAAGGTCGAGCACACGCCAAGGTCTGCAGTCGCTTGTCGTCACAGTTGGAAGAGTCGTCGCAGCCAGGTAAAATCTCTTCGTGTTGTTACCCAAGGTGTGATAGAACCACCTATATATATATGGTATTGACTGGTATACTCCATGTGATATAACCATTAAATGTACTTTGGTAAGCTCCAAACAATCTCAACAGTCAATTATTGTTTTAAATTGAAGTTCGGGTTAGGGTTTAGAGAATTAGGGCCCATATGTACATATATATATATCGTTAAATTAAATTAGAGAAAAATTTATACGACCATGGTTGTCACGTTGGGTTTATCGTGATCTATAAATTTAGGTGAAAAAATTTCACTACCAGATATACCACTCTTGTATATGGTGATAACTGGTGGTAAAAGGTGATGACCGGTGGTTAGTATATTCTCTACTATCATATATACAACCATTCTAAATTTTATTTATAACGGTGGTTATCCTCATACACTTTCATACGACCATGATATAATTTTATTTAGGGTTATAGGTATATTATACCCCTCTACTATGCACTTTTATCAAAGGGTTATAGGTATAATATGCCCATCTATTATGCAGTTTTATCAAACATGTCCCTATACTATTTTTTTACATCAAAGATGCCCCTGAACTTGGAAAAATAATCAAACATGCCCTTCTATTAAAACTTCCATTGAAAAAAATCGTCAATCTTGTTTGAACCGAGATTTAGTTGACCCGACACCGGCAAATCGGAGGTAAAATGTCAGTTTTGTCCCTTGATTTATTTTTCTAGGACTTGTTAAGTGAAATATTAGAGGTATTTGGGTGTACAAAAGAACCAAATAAATTCTAAAGTGAAATTATAAGGGATATTTTAGACATTTGTGTCTCCCAAACCAAGGTTCGACCGTGATTTATGATTCTATGACGCAAATTTTAACAGAATGGCATGTTCGATCATTTTTCCAAAGTATAGGGGCATGTTTGATGTATAAATTAGTAGAGGGGCATGTTTGATAAAACAACATAGTAGATGGGCATATTATACCTATAACCCTTTATCAAACATGCCCCTTTACTAATTTTTACATAAAATATGCCTCTCAAATTTGGAAAAATTATCAAACATGCCCTTCCATTAAAATTTTCATCCAAAAAATCTTTAATCATAATCAAACCATATTTTGGACAACAAAAATGTCTAAAATAACCCTAATAATTTGACATAAACAATTTTTGTTTCTTTTTTATAGCCAATACACCTAATAATTTCACTTTAACGAGACTTAGAGAAATAAATGGATGGGCAAAACTAAAATTTTCCCTCCCATTTTGCCGATGTCAGGTCTTCCAACAGTTTTGGATGAAAAGTTTAACAAAAGAGCGTGTTTGATAATTTTTCCAAAGTTGTAAAAAAATAATAGAGGGGCATGTTTATAAAAGTGCATAATAGAGGGGCATATTATACGTATAATCTTTTTATTTACTACCAAATATTATCACTATGGTATAGACTGGTAATATATATAAAAAAATTTTTGTTTCAAAATATATTAAAGTGAACGTCATTTTGAATGATATGATTAAGGCATATGCATATTTATGGACAAAAAATTTAAATTTCAACTTAAAATGAAATATACATTGGTTGTTAAATTAAATTAGAGAAAAATTTATATCACCATGGTTGTCAAGCCAGTTTAATATCGACCGGTTGAACCGAGTACAAGCGATATCAGTCATCAAATTGGCTAGTATGGGGTCATTATTCAACATTTGTCAATTTCAGTCAAAACTAGGAAAATTAGCTCTCACTAGTTTTAATTTCTTATCAAGAGGATACAAGGAACTTTGTTATATATACGAACCTTATATATGATATAATTAATGCGATATGTTACATAAACCACTATAAAATTAATAAAATTTATTTATGTATCAAATTATTTACTATTAGTTATCAAAATATGAGTTATTTTATGTGAATCTAATCTTCTTTCTCAAACTAATTTATTTGATATTTGATAATTTTTCATTTTTTATCATGCATTTTTATTAGATATGAGTTATTTTATGTGAATTAACTCTTCTTTCAATAAATAATTTATTTCATATTTGTTAATTTAAATTTTTTATCATGTATTTTAATAACATATATATATGCATAACCAGCAATTTTGATTTTGTCGTACCATTTAATTTAACCCCGTTCACTTCCCATTTTGTTTTCTGTTTTTTGTTGTGTCAATGAAAATCTGGAATCAAATTGTAAAAAAATGTGTTCACTTAGTAATTTCGTTTTCGTTGGAAGAATCATTTTACACAAATGAGCTAGATGGGAGAAAACGATAATTTCCCGTTTCCTGAATTATGTGGGACGGGTTTGTGCCCGTTTCCTAGCGGAAAAACGACACTGTGCTTAAATGAGCACCCACGTTCGAATCCCACCAGCCGCAATTTTTTTTTCTTTTGTTCCACACTTCCGCTAGCGGAATCCGACGTCGTTTCGCCTTCTCACCTCCCTCCACTTACCTCTCCCTTCAATCTTTTTCCGTGCAAAGCTCCAGCCGGCGACCAAGCTTTCATCCGGCGCTGAGCCTCTTCCCTCCTCCTGCCGACGCCAAGCTTCTTCCCTCTTCTTGGAAACTCGAACGGCGTCGATTTTCATCCCTTATGTGCGTAGTTTCATGAGGCGAAGAGACGATCGAGACCACCACCCCTGCCGCGCCGCCGTCATCTGCCCAGACCACCACCCCTCATCTTCCTCTCATTCCCGCGACGCCATCATCTTTCTTCCTCGCCAGCCCCCGCGCTGCCATCAACGACCAACCAACTCCGGCCCCATCATCGAGAGAGGGCCACTTTACCTTCTTGTTTACCTGGAACCAAAAGCCAAAAGGTCAAGGCTTTTTTAATTGTTTGTTTGGCTAAATTATGGATTAATGATGTCTGTGGAACTCAACAATGGTGACAGGTATGGATTGTGGTGATATAGGGGGATGAACATGGACGGATTGAAGCACAAGCAATTGCGAATTGTTGTGATGCTTTGTATTTTGTTTATTTGTAGTTTAAAAACTATATAATTCGAATTAAAAATGATGATAATAATTAGGGTTGTATGATACTCAATGAATAAAATTATGATAATCAATTATCAGAAAACAGTAATGAAATAACTAAACAGGTTTTCGTTTTTAAGATTCAGTTTCTGAACTTATAAAAAGTCTCAGCTAAACAAGGTTTTTTCAGGTTTTGTTTTTCAGAAAACGACAACTTCGTTTTCATTTTAGTTTTGTTTTCTGTTGTGACAGCTAACAGAAATGGAATGGCAAGTAAACGGCCCATTAACTTGCCAAATCAAAAACCGGTTTGACTTGTTGTATATGAGTATATGACATGGGAGTTGATAAAGGTCGTCCTAACAATTACTAATGATCGTCCTAAAAAACAACAAAGTTACACTTTTAACCTTTTGACATCTTTACCTTTCCTTTAGCAAACAAACACCACATTCACTTAGAAAACAAAAAACACTCATTCACTTAGCAAACAAACACCACATTCACAATATTTTTTTCATAATTGAATTCATAAAAATATTCGAATTTAATTTTTATAATAAATTATAAACCGTACAACTTATTTATAATTAACTACAATTATTTCTAATTATTACATAATTCACAATATTTAATAACAATTTTTATTAATTAATTGAATTAAAATTATTTAAAAATCAACCAAACCGAAGTCAACATTCGGTTGCAGGCGATGCGGAACGCGGAGCTTTACCTTCTTCTCCGGCGAGCACGGACGGCAGGCGAGAGGAGGGCTGACGACGACGGCTGGGCGACCACGCGACAGCTGGCGCTGGGGGCGAAGACGGCGACTGCTGGCGACGACGCTGCGCGACTCCGACTCCAGCGGCGTGGGTTGCGGCGGCGGACGACGCTGCGGACTGACGCGACGCCGACTCCGGCGGCGTGGGTTGCGGCGGCGGACGACTCCGGCGGCGTGGGCTGCGGCGGCGGACGACTCCGGCGAGGGTGGGTTGCGCTGCTTGTTGTCGGGGGGGGGGGGGGGGGGAGTTGTCTGTGTCGGGGGAGAGGAAGGGGGTAAGGGGTTGTTTGCTTAGGGTTTATTTTTGAATTTTAGAAAGGGTAATTCAGTAATTTACGTATTAAGTTAGTACGATAGTTAGTAATTTTTAGGACGACCTTTAACCCTTCAGTATGACATTATTGACGACATCCGCTAGACCGCTGGGCAGCCCGAGGCATCCGAGCCAACCAGAAAAGCCAGCCGTATTTCCGCCTCCAATTCAATTCTCTCTCTCTCTCTTTCATTTTCTTTCCTTCTTTCCATCTGACCATCTGAGTTTTACTTTCTCTCCCGGTGAATTTCCTCCGTCGGCGGCGCGCCGTTGTTCTTCCCGCCGGAGAGCGACACACAATTTGAAAGAAAGGAGAGCGGACGAATTTCGTAGCCCTCCGCGGGAATCTCGGTCTTCCTTCCCAGCGGTGCTCCCCACCTTCGCTCCGTTCCCCTGGGGAAAAAACCCTAGCGATTCTTCGATGTGTACGCGTTTGCGGATCCGCTGAAGAGGAAGGAAAAAGTGGGGAGGAAAGGAAGGAAGGCCCTAGTCACGAGAAAGAGGCGGGAAGCGAAGCGGTTATGGCGGAGTTAGGGCAACAAACGGTGGACTTCTCCACTCTCGTGAGTAGGGCTGCAGAGGACTCCTTTGTTTCGTTCAAAGAATTGATGGAGAAGTCCAGGTCGAGTGAGCTGTCTGACTCCGAGAGGAAGATTGGGCTGCTTAAGTATTTGGTTAAAACCAGGCAGCGTATGCTCAGGCTTAATGTCTTGGCCAAGTGGTGCCAACAGGTTAGTTTTTATTGTGCCGTCGTTTGAATTGGTTGCTCCAATTTGGTTCTTGATCGCATTAATGAACTCTTCTGTCGAGAATTGGAAGCTTGAAGGGCTGGAAATTTTTGAACTTTTCTCGTTCTGAGTTGGCTAGACTAGGGACCTATTGGTTTTATGGCTGATTGTGTGTTGAAAAGGATATTACTAGGAATCTGGCTTGCGAAATTATAATGGAAATGGTGTTTCACTTGTTATGGCCGGTCCAGCTTCTCTGCTGTGGGGGAGTGGAACCCTGAGAAGGGTGTTGCAGAACATGGGGCAGACCAGTTTGTTCAAATAATTGTAGCTGACTGGATTCATGCCTCAACATTCACTATCAGTTACAATTTGGTTGAATGGATCATTCTTCTAGTGTAACCTCTGTAACAGTGGAGCTCAGTGGGTGGCCGAGTTAGTGGTTCGCTAGGCCGAAAAAGATATACAAATTGGCTTCTCTTCATAAACCATTTTGATTTGCACAAGAGAAGTTTAGGTATGCCCTTGCTAATATGATTGGTGAAGAATGATTAAGAAATCATTTAGAGCTTCATGATGACTCATTGAATTACGGCTCATAGGAGTATGATTGAATTTGTGTTCGTGCTTGAAAATTTTGGTATGGGGCATCAAAACTTCAGGACAGGAACTGTGAATTATTTTGCATAAATATATTTTCAGAAAACATGGGGCAAAAAGGCACGAATTTTCCGCTCTTCCAGGACAAGAATATTCAGAACTGCCCTCATCTGCATAGCCTCGACAAAATATATGTCATCTGTGATGCTGTTGCAATCTTACTTTTAGTGGTACAAAATACAGATAAATTGGTTATATTTTGGGGTCAGGTAAAGAATTAATAACTCTTGTGGTAACATTGGGAATTGGCTGGTGAAATTGTTGGATGGTTATTTATCCCTAAATAAGGCACCATCACTTGAGAGCTTTTGATGAGTGTACAGGGTAGTAATATTAGGATAGAGTTGCATAGGGAAGTTTCGTTCGTGTGTCATTACTGGTGTCTCCTTAGCTAATGCAGCAGTTATCAGAATATTTAGACCTTTTATATCATTATACGGGCTACTTATGCTGATCATTCTGGATGGTTCAGATGATTTACAGTTTTTGTTTTACAGGTTCCATTGATACAATACTGCCAGCAACTTCAGTCTACAGTATCTAGTCATGATACTTGCTTTACACAAGCTGCAGATTCATTGTTCTTTATGCATGAAGGATTGCAGCAAGCACGTGCTCCTATTTACGATGTTCCATCTGCTGTTGAAGTACTCCTGACAGGATCTTATCAGCGCTTGCCAAAGTGCGTGGAAGATATTGGTCTCCAGGGCACGCTAACTGGGGATCAACAGAAGCCGGCTCTCAGAAAATTGGACACTCTTGTGCGTACTAAGTTACTCGAAGTTTCATTTCCCAAGGAATTCTCTGAGGTAAAAGTTTCTGATGGTACGGCTCTGCTGCGCGTTGACGGTGAATTTAAAGTGTTAGTTACTCTTGGTTACCGGGGACACCTGTCCTTATGGAGAATATTACATTTAGAGTTGCTAGTTGGTGAGAAAAGTGGACCTGTGAAATTGGAAGAGTTACGAAGGTATGCCCTTGGGGATGATTTGGAACGCAGAATGGCAGCAGCAGAGAACCCATTCACGATATTGTACTCGGTGCTCCATGAGCTCTGTGTCTCACTTGTTATGGATACCGTGATAAGGCAAGTGCAAGTACTACGTCAAGGGAGATGGAGAGATGCAATTCGTTTTGAGGTTATATCTGATGTTGGTACGTCCACACAGACAAATCAAGATGGAGAATCTGAATCAGCAGGTTTACGCACTCCAGGGTTGAAGCTTATGTACTGGGTAGATCTGGATAAGAACTCTAGTGGATTGGATTCGGGAGCATGCCATTTTATAAAAATTGAACCAGGACTGGATCTTCAAATCAGATGCACTCATAGTACATTTGTTATAGATCCATCAACAGGAAGAGAGGCAGAATTTTCGCTTGACCAAGGCTGCATTGATGTTGAGAACTTGTTGATGGGAGCAATATGCTGTAACAGATATACCCGGCTTCTACAAATTCAGAAAGAGCTGGGGAAAAACACCCAAATCAGTCGTGCTGCTGATGATGTTGTTCTTCGATCCCACTTGGATGAATCAGATTTTCACCATAGAAAGGTTGGTTTAAGATGCTAATCTGTTGAAATTTAGTGAAATCTGAGCTATTCCTTGTTGAAAAATGGTACCACTTGGTGTATTTTCCTTTTCTAATCCGGCGAGGCTATAAAAATATGATTATTGATCTTTTCAGCCCTAGAGGCCCCCTTTTGTTTGTAAATGCACCTTTCTGGCTTATATCACCATCTTATTATGCTGTATTGTTCTTGTCCCTTTTATTTGTGGCAGAAGGGGGATATGTTTGAACGCGGGAAATATGAGGCTCAAGAAGTACTATGTGTGCGTGCCTATGGCTCATCGTATTTCATGCTCGGGATAAACATAAGGTTCTTCTCTTTTCTTTTTTCTATATGCTGTGTACCTTGACATGTGGTGTTTGGTAAGGACGCCGGGGGTGGGGGGGGGGGGGGGGGGGGGATGCAAGTGGTGAGCGGCAGTTATTGCCCTTCGTTTGCTGGTACTTCCATTGAGGGTTAGTTTTATTGGAAAGGGTAGCATTGAATGTTTTCATAAGTGTTACTGTGGACTGTGAACATTTTATCATCATTGCATAAGGATACATGCAGCAAAAAGGTCTGCTATATTGGTGCAGGTTGTTTTACTTGCCAGCTGAAGTTTTATTTCTGATAGGTCCCTTGATCAAGTTAGTTTTTCTGTTTCTTCTTTCTACGTAGACGTAGTTTGGGATCAACTACTAATGAGTCCAGAATTTGAAGTTTGCGAATCAAGCCTTCAATGGGTTGCTTGGCTAACTCGCTTTCAGTAGTAATGAAGCTAGATACAGAAGGTTTCCTGCATTTTCCACTTATGTTTTTCTATTCCCAATGCATGACTTTAGTTCTTCATGGATGCCATCTGACAGAGAGGAAACTGTTTTGACGATATAGGAGGATCATGAATTCATGATTTACAATATATGTTGATTTGTAGGACTGGTCGATTTCTGCTGCGTTCATCCCAAAATGTACTCCCAGCAACAGCATTATCAGAGAGTGAAGAAGCTTTAAATCAAGGAAACATGACTGCAGCTGAAGTTTTTACCAGCTTGCGAAACAAAAGTATCTTGCACCTGTTTGCATCTACAGGCAGGTTTTTAGGGCTGGAGGTAAGATCTCTATGGTTGGTCAGTGCCATAGTTGTTTGTTCATGCCAGTACCCCATACAATCGTCTGACACACATGTGAAATTTACAGGTATATGAGGATGGGTTTGCCACTGTTAAAGTGCCTAAAAACCTTTTGAGTGGCTCACCTATGTTGCTAATGGGGTTTCCCGATTGTGGGAGCTCATATTTCCTGCTAGTGCAGCTTGATAAGGATTTCAAATTGCAGTTTATATTGTTAGAGATACAGCCTGACCCATCTGGAAGAGCATCTTCGGTTGATATGAACCAAGTTGTGCGTGTCAAGAAGATTGATATTACCCGGATGCAGATGCTTGAAGATGAATTGAATTTAAGTCTGCTTGACATGGAAAAGTTGAGTTCGTTCTTGCCACATGCTGGGGATACTCTTGAAACTTCTGAACATGGTCTTCTGACTGACATTAGTGTTGAGGCTCCTCTGCAAATTGCTGGACGTCCACCATCCTGTTTTTCATCTCTCGTTGATGAAGTATTTGAGCTGGAGAAAGGAGCACCAGCAATTCCTATTCAAAATATCTCATCTTCATTCAATTCATTGTCCAATTTTGGTTCTCCTCCTATGAATGGCCAAGGTGTAAAAGCAGGAACTCTTCCTAAGTGGGAAGGACAAGTGAACAATGTGACTATTTCAAAACCTTCTAGTTTGAGTTCGCATTACAATGGTTCATTGTACCAATCAAGCAATCTAAAGGGCCACTCGAGTTCCTTCAGTTCATTATCTCCTGGCATGGGGAGAAATTCGTACTTAAAAAAGCTGTCAGGTTCAAAATCTGATCAAGATTTGACTTCACTCAGATCTCCAAACTCCGTTGAGGTAACTTCAAATGTCTCAATGAATGAGGATCATATGAGATTGCTGAATGACACGGTTATTGATGGACTGTCTGGGAGGTCAGGCTCTCAAGTTTCTTTGGCTAGCATGAAACCTAATGGACCCAGAAGTTTGGAAAGAGTAAATGGATCAGGCTCCTTGGCTACAACTCCCGTATGTAAGATACTTCCACCAGAATTTTTTAGTTGTGTTATGTGGTGATAGTTTTGATGAATCTATGTATTTTTTGTCAGTCACTTATGTTTATTTTCTGATTTTTCTTTTTACAGCACAGGAAAGAGGAGACGGGTATAGTGTTGAGGTATCAAAACAAGATAAGCATCCTAGAAAGCGTACGGTTTCAGACTTGTTGAGTTTGATTCCTTCTCTGCAAGATAAAGACACAGGAGGACTGGTCAAGAAGAGGAGAACCTCAGCATTGTCTCAATCTCAGCAGCCTTCATCAAATTCACTTGTATCACTAGAGTTGGTGAATAAGAATGAAGGATTCAGCTATGGGAATCTCCTGGCTGAAGCCAACAAAGGGAATGCTCCCTCTAGCATTTACATTTCTTCTCTTCTTCATGTCATTAGGCATTGTTCGCTTTGCATCAAGTATGCCAGACTTACTAGCCAGATGGAGGCACTTGATATTCCTTATGTGGAAGAAGTGGGATTGAGAAGCGGATCATCAAATATATGGTTCAGACTTCCATTTGCAAGAGGTGATCCATGGCAACATATATGCTTACGACTTGGAAGACCCGGAAGCATGTACTGGGATGTCAAAATAAATGATCAGCACTTCAGGGACCTATGGGAACTGCAAAAGGGAAACACTAGCACACCTTGGGGCTCTGGTGTCCGTATTGCCAATACATCAGATGTGGATTCACACATCCGTTATGACCCTGAAGGTGTGGTCCTCAGCTATCAGACCGTTGAGAGTGATAGTATAAAGCAACTAGTTGCAGACATTTGTAGGCTTTCTAATGCTAGGACGTTTGCTCTGGGGATGCGGAAGCTTCTTGGAGCAAGGGCAGATGATAAATCTGAAGAAATCAGCGCGAATTCTGACTCAAAAGCACCAACAGGGCCCAAAGTTGGTTCTGAAGCAGCTGACAAGCTATCAGCACAGATGCGGAGGGCATTCAGAATAGAGGCAGTTGGACTGATGAGTCTGTGGTTTAACTTTGGAGCTGGTGTGCTTGCTCGTTTTGTTGTTGAGTGGGAGTCGGGTAAAGAGGGATGTACGATGCATGTTTCTCCTGATAATCTATGGCCACACACTAAGGTAGGTTCATTGCTGTTTGCTTTTGTTGCGTTGGTAACTCTTGTTTGTTGTGGGCAAGTCTGTTGCACGACACATTTAAAACTGCATATTTTGGTTGTATGGGGATTTGAGTTGGTTAGCTGTTCCTTATCCATGGCAATCTTCCTATTCTCAAAGCCCACCATGCCTCATTTTACGTGGCTGGAAATTTTGGGTTTTTGTTCATTTTATGCTCTTAAGTTTTGCCTTTTCATTTGTATGTTGTTTCCTGGCAAATGCTTAAAACTTGACCAATTGGGTGTATTCGTTTAGCCTTTTGCTTAATTTAAGTGATAGGTTTTGGTGGAGGTAGAAGTTTGAAGAAAGGGCCTTTGGTAAGCTTTTAGAGAAATAATTGCTGTGTATAACTTTAAGAGTTGATTATTATTATGAAAGGGTAAAATTGGAAATGAAATGAAATTAGTGGGTTCTATTATGAATTCTTGTTCCAAAAGTTAGCTCAAACAGGTGTTTTGTATTTATCTTTTAAGCTGACTTATTTTTTGTAACATATATTAGCTCTTAGCACAAACACACCTGTATCAAATCGAAGAGTTGTTCAGAGTCTGTTATTATCTTTGTAACATATATTTCACAAACTTTGTAGTGCTCCTTGTAAACTTCAGCTGAAAACAATCTTTTTTTGCTTGCAGTTTCTGGAGGGTTTTATTAACGGAGCGGAAGTTGCAACCCTTTTGGATTGCATTCGCCTCACTGCAGGACCCTTGCATGCCCTTACAGCTGCAACTCGTCCTGCACGGGCTCAATGCGGGCCAGGGGTAACACCCCCTGCTGCTTCTTCTTTCCCTAAACAGGCAGCAGGGTATGTGCAACAACAGCCTGTCCTGCCCAGCAGTTCGAGTAACATTATGACACCACCATCTGTGCTCACACCAAACCCTCCCCAGCCTGCTATTGCTGGTCCTCTCGGAAGTCCCGGTCTCCATAGTGCTGCAATGTTAGCTGCCGGTCGTGGAGGCCCTGGCATTGTTCCTAGCTCTCTGTTGCCGATCGATGTCTCTGTTGTGCTACGTGGGCCCTACTGGATTCGGATTATCTACCGCAAGAATTTCTCAGTCGACATGCGCTGCTTTGCTGGTGATCAGGTCTGGTTGCAGCCTGCAACCCCACCTAAAGGAGGGCCATCAGTTGGAGGATCCTTACCATGTCCACAGTTCCGTCCTTTCATAATGGAGCATGTTGCTCAGGAGTTGAATGGCTTGGATCCAGGATTTGCCGGAGGCCAACAAACACCTGGAATGTCGAACTCTAATACCCAAAGCCCTGTTTCAGGCTCCCAACTTTTGAATGCTAATACTGGAAATAGAGTTAACCTTCCTGGTTCTGCAGTAGTGTCCAGGGCTGCAAACCAAGTGGCTGCATTAAACCGTGTTGCAAATGGCGTGCCAGGGTCTTCTAATTTAGCAGTTATGAGCACCGGGTTGCCCATACGTAGATCTCCAGGTGGTGGCGTCCCGGCTCATCTTAGAGGAGAGTTGAATACGGCGATCATTGGCCTTGGTGACGATGGAGGGTATGGAGGTGGGTGGGTTCCTCTTGTCGCTCTTAAGAAGGTCTTGAGGGGTATTCTTAAGTACCTTGGCGTGCTATGGCTATTTGCTCAGCTACCTGATCTGTTGAAAGAGATCCTTGGATCGATTTTGAAAGACAATGAAGGTGCTCTCCTGAATTTGGACCAGGAACAACCTGCTTTGCGCTTCTTCGTTGGGTAAGAAGAATCTATATTCAATATTATTTTTATCTAACTACCAATGCTGGCTCTGAAGTTGCACTTGCTCGGCTGTTTGTTGGCAAGTATTTGTTTGGATGTAGGATTTGTGGAAGGACGGATTCTGCAAAATGTGTGGATCTGAAAAGTAACTGATTGTCACATTTTTGGATCTCAAAATTTTGTTATTTGGATGTGGTTTTAGAGGTTGATAGTTACTTTCAAAACAAAAATACGACGATAATGCTTTCACCAACATGAAAGAGACATTATTAGATGGGCTTCACGGACCCTTTCCAGGGTGGGTTTTTGGATCCGTGGGACCTACTCACCCTCATGATTTCCACCCTCAGTTTTTGAAGAAACCGTCTATTTGTAGATTTGGTGCTCAAATCCATGTGCCGAATCTTACATTCCTCCTAATAACTTCACTGCCAATCCTGTTGAAGGTTTCATGTCATGCATTTAAATCTGTATCTTACACAATCTGCGAATTGTGTTCTTATGATTAATTTATTTCTTGAGAAACTCCTATACTGAGTTTCGCAGCTTAGATTCTTATTCTGTTGCGTTGTTCTCCCTGCAGGGGCTATGTCTTTGCCGTCAGTGTGCACAGAGTTCAACTTCTTCTTCAGGTACTAAGTGTTAAGCGTTTTCATCACCAACAGCAGCAACAGCAGCAGCCAAACTCTGCTACATCCCAGGAAGAACTCACTCAACCCGAGATCAGCGAGATCTGTGACTATTTCAGTCGTCGTGTCGCGTCTGAGCCATATGATGCTTCCCGTGTTGCATCATTCATCACCCTCCTCACACTCCCTATATCAGTCCTGAGAGAATTCCTGAAGCTAATCGCATGGAAGAAAGGACTTGTACAGGCGGCTCAAGGTGGTGGAGAAATGGCTCCTGTACAGAAACCCCGTATCGAGCTATGCCTTGAGAATCACAATGCCAGAGGAAATCAAGACGATAATAGTTCGTCAGTAGCCAAGAGCAATATCCACTACAATCGGCCGCATAATTCGGTTGATTTCGCACTCACCGTGGTCCTCGACCCAGCTCATGTGCCTCACATCAATGCAGCTGGCGGTGCAGCTTGGCTGCCCTACTGCGTCTCAGTGAGATTGCGGTACTCATTTTTGGATAATCCGAATGTCTCTTTCCTCGGGATGGAAGGAAGCCATGGAGGGCGAGCTTGCTGGTTGAAAGGTGACGAATGGGAGAAGTGTAAGCAGCGGGTTGCAAGGACGGTGGAAGTGAGTGGTGGTTCTTCAGGAGGGGAACGTGATCTCAGTCAGGGAAGGTTGAGAATAGTAGCAGACAATGTGCAGAAGACGTTGCATTTGTGTCTGCAGGGATTGAGAGACGGCGGCAACGGTGGAGTTACTTCGAGCCCTGGGCTGACATGAGCGACTCTGATGCTTCGAGACATTTAAGACGTGGTTGTGATTGTTGGGTCTTTCCCGTGGGATCATCGTCTCATGCAATTTTGTCGACCGACTTACCGAGCAGAAACACAACTGGAGCTATGAGGATGAAGACTTGGACATTTGAATGGATAGGGTGGTGGGTTCCTTCCGTGAAGTAGATTTTTTTTTTTTTTTTTCTGGGGCATCTACATAATCTTTTAGCAGGTATCTGAAAAAGTCGTAGTCGGGTTGAAAGGTTGCCATTCGAGCATCTTGTCTTGCAGCAAAGTCGGGTCCCTTGTACAGAAATGATACGCAGTTTGGATGATTAATTTGTAAAAAAGAAGTAACGGTGGAAAATTGTATGATTGGAGTTTGTATAATTTTTTCTGGACTTCTTCCAGTACTAGTTTGGATGATTAATTGAATCATTAATTCTACAACTATATTATGAACGCTGATCGCTGCCAAGATGAAGAGAACTCAAGAAAATACAACATTAGTGCTGATTGCTGCCCATGATAATAGCCAAAGGAACCGTCATCTCTACCGCAATTCTGAGTCTCCGGTTTGCCCAATATGAGTAGTGTTGATTGCTGCAGATTAAGATGGTGAATGCTCAAGTAAATCCAAAACATGGGACAACTAGGCAGAGGAAAAACAGAATTCCAACCCTTTTCATCCATTTTCCTGTCACTTCATGACAGCATGCAATTCAACATCAAAATGGTGCCGAACCTTGGAAGATACCCATCGAAATGGGCTATAAATCCACCAGCAGACCAAAGTTGTACCTCATCAAACACATTTCAAAATTACCCTGTCCAAAATAACATAACAGCAATAATGGCTTCAGTAGCTGGAAACAAGCTGATGTTGATGGCGGTGTTGCTGATGGGGATCTATGCATATGGAGCATTCTCCGCAAGACCCTCGGTGCATCCTGTTAGCAGCATGAATGAAAGGTTTGAAGCATGGATCGCGCAGTATGGACGAGTTTACGAGGATGCAGGAGAGAAGGCCAGGCGCTTCAGAATCTTCAAAAAGAATGTTGCCTTCATCAATCACTTCAACAAGTTTGGAAACAAGACTTATAATCTAGCCGTCAATCAGTATGCTGATTTGACAAACAAGGAGTTCAGGGCTGCTAAAACTGGATATAAGAAACCTGCCAATCTCATCAACTCTGGCACATCATCATTCAGATACGAAAATGTGACTTCAGCGCCAGACACCATGGATTGGCGAACCAAAGGAGCTGTGAATCCCATCAAAGATCAAGGCCAATGTGGTAAGCTTACTAAAAGAAAGTCCAAACCTTTTCCATCTTCCTGCCATATATGTCATACCTTTATTAATTGTGTTCCCCAAATAATCATCGCAGGAAGCTGTTGGGCATTCTCTGCTGTGGCAGCGGTGGAAGGAATCACAAAGATCTCAACTGGGAAGCTGATCTCTCTTTCAGAGCAAGAATTGGTTGATTGTGACAGAACCACCAATGACCAAGGCTGCAATGGAGGACTCATGGATGATGCTTTTAAATTTGTCAAAACCAAGGGACTGACAACCGAATCCAAGTACCCTTACTCAGCAGCAGATGGAACTTGCAGCACAGTCAAGACAAACTCTCCTGCTGCCAAGATCAGTGGATATGAAGATGTTCCCGCGAATAACGAGCAGGCATTGCTAAAGGCCGCAGCAAACCAACCTATCGCGGTGGCCATTGATGCTAGTGGCTCTGCCTTCCAGTTCTACTCCAGCGGAGTGTTCACTGGAGACTGTGGAACAGATTTGGATCATGGTGTGGCTGTGGTAGGGTATGGTACGAGTGACGATGGTACAAAGTACTGGCTGGTGAGGAATTCATGGGGGACAAGCTGGGGAGATCAAGGATACATCAAGATGCAGCGTGACGTTGGTGCAAAAGAAGGCCTCTGCGGCATTGCTATGTCAGCTTCCTATCCTACCGCATAAAAATAGTAGCCACGAGCTAGCTGAGAAATCTCCATCACTGTTAAGAAATATATGTGCTATATATGTGGATTGTTACTTGTGATCCTATTTAACTCGCTAAGCATTTGTGCTAGTGGTAACCTATTTGTATGCAACTGCATTGTATCCTGAGTTTAAAATAAGAATTCTCTTCAAAGTTTAAGATAAGATCATGGCATTAGTTAGAACTTATGTGATGAATTTCTATGGAAATGCATTCATCTCCATGGCAATGCTGCAACCATGGAAACAAAGAAACATCACGATATATGATATCTCCACTTATATGCTAGTACTTTTCAGGTCGAAATGAAACTCCATGGAAAGCATGCTGCATGAAATGCAACTCTTTAGAATGCTTCTTAAGCAACGAGGAATAAATTCATATACATGGAAAATGGACTGTAATCACTCGATGAACCAAATTTTTTTTTTTTTTTATGAATGATGTGGGATTTCATTGCTGACGCATATAATATGTGTCAATAGAATCAATGTTGATACAAAAAAAGTGATAACAAAAGAGTTATAAAGCATTTAAACATGGGAAGCTAAGAGCATCATTGTAGTTGATATTACGGGACATCAAGGATCAGCCTCCTAACATGAGAGAACAAGAATTTGGAATAGGACAAGTAATTTTCAGGGTGGTTAAAATGTAAAACCAAATGTGTAGCGCTAATGTAGTAGAAAGAAGGAGCATCTTCAACCTCTTTTAACACCATCGATGGCTGGAGAAGAAGGACAAAGACAAGTGGTTGTCCCACCTATTCTTTATGAGTACTCAAAAGCCAAGACCATCCAACATCACCTCAAGTATTGTTGCACCACCATTCCACCAACAACTATAGAGATCTGAACCCAACTCATCCAGATGGTGCAACAAGCAGCGATATTAGGAGGAACGAATAATGATGATTCGGTGCAACACTTGAAGACATTCTTAGAGATCATCGACCTGGCACCTTCACCACATGTGAGGCTCTTGCACAAGCATTCATCGAGGAGTACTTTCCACCATGGAAGACGGAGGAGTTTAAAGACGAGATTACTCGATTTCAAAAGAAGGAAGGAGAGACTTTCTACGATGCGTGGAGGACATTCCAGGAGTATATCAAGACATACCCCCATCACGTATTCACGTCGTAATAAATTGCAAAGTACTTCCCTAAAGGCCTCAATGAAGATACCACAATGATGGTCACCCAGTCAGCCGATGGAGATTTCACAACAATGACCAGAGTGCAATGTCTTAAACCTTGAAAAAGCAAACAAAAAATTACACTGAATATTTTTTTATCCAATTTCCGGTCGCCCATCATCAAAATCCGGTCATTGATTATTTCAAAAAAGATATTGTGATGTTTGATAATGAACATAATTATTTGTTTATATAATAATATTGATTTGTTTCTTTTTGCGGTAATATAGAGAAAATTCCTGCTTCCCAATCTCAAAATACTGACTTCGCCTATGTTCTCTCTTGCATTTTTGTAAACTCGGTTATACCGATCAATCCATGATTCAAACCTTTCATTGATGCTGCGATTATGATGTGGTGAGGATCTAGCAGACAAGGCTCCTTAAGAATAAATCCTAACTAGCAACACCATTACTAAAATCAGTGTGTTTCCAGCTACCTGTGTCTTGTAGACTAGGTCATTGTGACATCCATATAAATCCTTTGTAGTTTCACTGAAAAGACACAACAGTTTGCATCCAATAATTTATTGTTATGCAATATAAGATCAATTATTAAATTTTTGTCCATAATTCTAATTATTGAAACCAACTGATTATTCACATAAGCATCGTTTTGAAGGTTGAAGTGCATGCTGGCATAATGTGCTAGGAGAAATTTCTTTCGGCCAGTTATCCCATGTTTTGACTTTACTCTATAGCTAGTCGAGTTCACTAATTCGCTTCATGTAGCCAGCCTGCATTCATATTAGTTGGCAAAATTGGACAACTCTGAATTGAGGAATAGAAAGACTGTTACTTTGTCTATTTACTAGCGCTATTATCTTGATAATGGTGAAATCAATTAATAAAGAAACCAGAAAGAAGAACACAGAGCAAACCAAAAAAGAAAGCGAGGCAAGCCACAGCAAGACATGCTGGCCACCGAGACCAAGCCCCAACCTAACGAGCTACGGAGAAGGCCACCCAACACCCAACATCAAGATCCGCAAGCCCAAAGTAACCCAAAGAAAGCCGCAAGCCCAAACTAACAAGAGGGGAGCGGCCACACCAACACAGCAGCAGACATTGCAAAACCAAAACAAAACCAGGACCAAGAGCAGACGCAAAACCAAAAAACAGAGACTCCCCCCCCCCCCCAACAGCTCGCGACACAGCCCCAAGCCTCCACCAAGACTCAGAGAAAACAAAACAAGAGCGGCGGCGCAGAGTCGAAGAGCCCCGCCGAGTCCAGAACGGCACCCAGCACACCAAAAACACCCAAGTGTTATGCATCGACTGATCTTGATAGGATTCTATTCTTCATGGTACGCAGCCAATCTTCAGCAACCAACCTGTCGACCTTTTTGTGTGCGCATAACCAGTCCACCATGCTTCGACCGATTCTGACGCAGGTGACAATGACTGTCTCCTTATTATCACTGAAAACTCTGTTGTTCCGCTCAAGCCAAATGCGCCAGCAAAGAGCATGGATGAAGACTCTCGAACACCACTCCTGCGGACAGGCTGGTGATTTTCTGCTCCAATTCCTCAGAACAGAAGAGATATTCGAGCCCAGAGCCGCAGGAAGCTTCACAAAACACCTCATGATTTGCCACACGCTGAGCGAGTACCTACAGGACAGAAACAGGTGGTCAACGGTCTCCTCCTCCTCGCAGCACATGGCGCACCGGTTTGGCAGCAACCACCCACTCTTCTTGAGATTATCCTGAGTCAGAACCTTGTTGTGGTAAACCAGCAATAGGAACACGCAAACTTTAAAGGGAGCAGCCTGCAGCCAAACAACCTCTGAGGGGAACTCGGAACCCAAGTTGAAGTGCTCCTTGAACAAATTCTCGTACATAGACTTAACTTGAAAGCCGGTACTCGGGGACGGCTCCCAAGTAATTCTCGCAGGCCCTGCAGAAAACAAACTCAAGGGAACAGAATGCAACAGATTAAAAAGCTCAATTCTCTCACCCTCAGCCCCACCCCGAAGACTATGACGGAGATTTAACTCCCAAGAAAGAGGCCCATCCTCATAATGAAGGACTTCAGCGACCTGGCAGCAGGGCGACTCGGCAGCAGCGAACACCCTCGGAAAGCTCTCAGCCAGCGGAGGTCGACCCTTGATCCAGACATCAAACCAAAAAGAGGCCCACGCACCTCCCCCAGGCTCCACCCACGCGAACTTCCAGAAATCCTTCGAAGTTTTCAAAATTTGAGACCAGGGGCTGCACCCCACGGGAGTCTTCATCTCCCCCGAAATCCACTCCGAAGAGGAGTGTGGGTACTTTATGCTAATTAGATCCCTCCACCACTCATCCCTTTCACGAGAAAACTTCCACAACCATTTAGCCAGCATTGCAGTGTTACAAATCCTAAGATCAAGGATACCAAGACCCCCGAACTTCTTTGGCGCCTTGCAGGAATCCCAAGCCAAAAGATGGAACTTCTTCTCTTGCCTCGGTCCCGACCAAATGAAGTCCTTCTGGATTCTCTCGAGTTTCTGAATAACGTTGGCGGGCGCCCGAAACAGCGAACACTGGTAAAGAGGTTGGCTGGCCAAGACAGCCTTGCACAAAGTAACTCTTCCTCCCAGGGACAAGTAATTGCCCTGCCACCCATCGAGCTTTCTTTGCGTCTTGATTAGGACAGAATCCCAAATAGAGGACGAAGTTGGTTGAGCACCGAGCGGAAGACCAAGATATACAGTATGAAGGAAACTCCAGTCACATCCCAGGATCTCCGCCAGTCTCCCAATGTTCCTGACTTCGCCAACCGGGTACAACTTGCTCTTATCAAGATTAATTCTCAGTCCAGTAATGGATTGGAAGCACAGCAGCGCAGCAAGCACATTAAACACTTCCTCTTCAGTAGCATTGCAAAAAACAATTGCGTCGTCTGCGTAAAGGAGATGGGAGACCTGACCACGCAGCTCAAACTTGTCAAAGTGGAAACCCGAGATGAGACCAGCCTCCTGCATAGATTCAACGATGAACGAGAAGATATCCATAACGATGCTGAACAGAAGGGGGGAAAGCGGATCCCCTTGTTTTAGACCTCGTTCCATACTGAAGAAACCAGACGATTCCCCATTAACGAGGACAGATAGTTTCGAGTAAGTCACCAACCCCATGATCCACTTAACCAGCTTAACATTCATACCCATGTTTCTTAAAATATGTCTCAGGCAGTCCCAATTTACCGAATCAAACGCCTTTTCAATATCAAGCTTCAGAATAATACCTGGCTTACCACTTCGTTTGCGGCTGTCGATAGCTTCATTAGCGATCAGGCTAGCCTCGTGGATAAGTTTCTTCTTTCTACCCGCAAACTGGTATCTTGAGACCATTTTCCCAGCAACCAACTGAAGCCTAGCCCAGATAGTCTTCGAGATAATCTTGTTGAGACACCCAATAAGGCTAATAGGGCGGAAGTCTCTAATTTCCTCAACCGCCTCTTTCTTGGGGATTAAGCACACGAAGGAGTGGGCCACGAAATGAGGGAGGACCCCGTTAAAGTAAAACTGTTTCCCCGGGAAAACCAAATGCCACCGCCGGTGCCGAATTTGTTTCCGGCGATGTTGATTTGATGTTTCGCGGTGGAAACTCTTGCGGTGCCGTTGGATCGAATGCACCGCTGATTGTTGAAATCGAGACGACCGTCAAATATCCGCCGCCGAATGTCGGCGCCGTTGATTTGATCGATGCACCTCTAAATGGTGAAATCAACGTGACCGTCAAATATCCACCACCGGTGTCGGCGATGTTGATTTGATCGATGCACCTCTGACTTCTAACCAAGAACGACCGTTACTACGGTTTGCACCTCTCCAAACTACGTTCGAACGAGGGTGTTTGAGTTTTGAGGAATCTACGTTACCGCTACTCCTATGGAGATTCCTGTGGAGAGCTCCGCGACTACGACTAAGACTACAACTATGGAGATCCTTCCTGGAAGGAGAGCTCCGCGAAGGAGTTACAGAGAAAAAAGGTAAAGTTTTGACAGAGTTGTTCCTGTGTTGATTTTTGGTTGTCCTATTTCTCTCTCCTTGCTCCACTGCTTTTATTCGAAAAACACCTTCGTAGTCTTCACGCTCGGTGAAACCGCTTCTCAACTGCTCCGCTGTGAACTCCCACGTGTCTCAACCGCTTCGTTCCTTAAACTGCTTCGCGTGAACTTTACGTGAGTTGTTTTCATGATCCCGCGATGTCGTTTCCTTTCCCAAACAGCTCCGTTTGTTTTTTCCTCGCGACACTGTTATAATATTAAACGACTCCGCTTCCAGTCTCGCGGTGTCGTTGGCTCACTCGAGCTTGTTCTCCACGCAACGACCTTGTCGTCTACTACTACGTCATCATTTGTGTTGCAATATCTCGCGACATTGTTTTTACTAAACACTGTCGTTACCATTGAGCTTACTCGCGGTACCGTTTTGAATTAAACGACACCGCCGATATAGCCAAAAAATATTAATCCATGGAACCGCCGCAGTCGGCGCTCGCATTGGGCCGGGTGAATTTTGGTCACCTGCCCGATATGATTTTTCAATTAATCGGTACCGCTTACCAGGCTCTCGCGGCACCATTTTTAAATCCGCGGTACCGTTTTAGCTCTCCGCGATACCGCTTATCTCCATGCGGTACCGATTTTCCCCTTCCAACAAGGAATAAAAATAATAATTAAATAATCAAAACTCCTCCTCCAACCTTCATTAAACGCACGACCCTTTTTTTATTTTCTGGTGACCTGTGCCGCGGTACCGCTGAGCTTCCTTGCGGTACCGTTTTAATTCTCCATGCGGTACCGATTTTCCCCTTCCTACAAGGAATAAAGGTAATAATTAATTATAAGACTCCCTTCTCCAACCCAACTACACGCGCAGCCCTTTTTCTTTTTATTAAGCGGTGTCGTTTCCCATGCCGCGGTACCGCCGAGCTCCCTTGCGGTACCGTTTTAACTCTCCGCGACACCGCTTAACTCCAAACGACATCGTTTTTAACCCGCGGTATCGAATTAAATGCCGAGACTGATTAATGCGGCATTTAATTACGGCCCAAATTAATTTTAGGTGTCAACAAAAACTCATCAAGAGCTTTCAGCACGTCCTCCTTGATAATGCTCCAAGATTTCTTGAAGAAAGCCAAAGTAAACCCATCTGGCTCGGGCGCCTTATCGCCATTGCAGGAGCAGATTGCATTCCACGCTTCTGCCTCAGTGAAAGGAACAGTCAGTCTATAATTCTCTTCTTGAGTGATTATCCCCTTTTTGAAATCAGCGGGAAAGGGTCTCCCACTCTCCTTCTCGGTGAATCTGTCGCGGTAGTGGTTAACGAAGGCTTCCTGGAGTTGACCCTTATCAGAGATAGGCCTACCATCAACATACAGGCTCCCCACCCAATTCTTCCTGCCATTATTCTTAGCCCAGCGGTGAAAAATCCCAGTATTATTATCCCCGAAAAGCAGCCAGACCGCACGGGACTTTTGCCTCCAAGATATTTCCTCCATCAAGAGGATTTTATCCAGTTCGCATTTCAGCCTGCAGCGCTCCAGAAATGTCTCTTCAGGCAGCTGTCCCTGCTCTTCCAAACCGTCAATCACTTTAATCCTGGAGAGTAGATCCATAATCTTCCTATCAATCTTCCCGAAAACGTCAACATTCCATTCCTTGATTAAAAGTTTTGTGTTCCTTAATCTTTGGCTGCATCTAAAGAGAAATCCTGAACCATTGACCGGAATACTCCACCATCCCACGAGTTGCTCAAAAAAGCTAGGCTCCTCCAGCCACATGTTCTCAAACTTCCAAGGACGATTACGCCTCTCAATGGCGCCCCATCTAAGCACAATCGGGTTATGATCCGACTCCACCCTTTCGAGAGCAGTCAGGGGGCTTGGATCAAAGAGCTCATCAAAGCTGGGGTTGACCAAAGCTCTGTCGATACGAGATAAGGACTCCCTATTTCCGCCACTGCTCCAAGTATATAAGGCTCCTTTAAGAGGTAAATCATTCAAACTGTGAGAGGAGATGAAGCTGTTAAATTCCATGGTGACTTCGCTGTTCCTTGGGCCTCCAATGTAGTCGTCCTGCGAACGAACCAGATTAAAATCTCCCATGATACATAGAGCTTGGTCGTAACTTTGACAGACCAGGCTCATTTCACGGATGAAAGCCAGTTTATCCTCTTTGTCCTGAGGGCCATAAACCATCATTAGTGCAAAAATTCGGTTGTTCTCGGCACATTGCAATCTCACAGTAAGGGCAAAGCTTCCTTCCCACACGTCAATAAGATCAAATTCCAACGGATCCCAAAAAATAGCGATCCCTCCTCTGGTCTCCTTCGCATCTTTTGCCACCCACTTAGACCTCCTACTGCCACCGACTGAGCAAATAAGCTGTTGCGAGCACTTATTCCATTTAGTTTCCGTCAGCCCCACAATACTAGGCCTCTGTCTTTTTATGATCCCTTTGATTCTCGCCCTCTTATCAGGGGCCCCCAAACCACGAACGTTCCAGGCGAGGATAGAATATGAAACCATTAAGACAAGTTCTGAACAATACCGCAGCTACCGATGGATTCCTTCGCGCGCCTTGATTTCCTTCTGATCCTTGGAGTTGCAGGGACCTCCTGTCTGGGGCCAAGTCGGTGCTCTTCCATCTGCTGGTTAGATCTTGGAACCCTTTTCTTGCGCTTAGCATCAATTGCCAAGTCAACGATCCTCTTACCCGGGTCGATCTCAGGATTATCAGAAACCAAATTAAGGCAATTGCAGACAACCAAGCACCTTTCAGAGAGGCGGGCCAGGTCCTGCTCAACTTGCCACTCATGGAAATAAGCCCTCTCCAAGGGCCTGTGCACCACGATGGCCAAAGGGTTAACCAGGGCAGTATCGGGGGGAGGGGGATGAGGGGAAGAGATGAGGGCAGGGGAGAAGGGGCTGGAAGGAGGGGTGGGCTCGGGGTTGGAGGGGCCAGGTTGGGGGCTGGAGGGGGTAGGTTCAGGTGTGATTTCTTCAAAACAGTGGGTGGAATCGGGCAAAGAGCTACGCAAGGACAGGGGGGAGAAGGAAAGACCGAGGGTTCTGCCAGGGAGAGGGGTAAGAATGGAGCCAGGAAGAGTAACCTCCAACGAGAAATTGCGGGCGGAGAGGACGAGTTTAGAGACTGGAAGGGGAAGGGAGAGAGGGAGGGGATCACCGAGGTACAGTTGAGATAGCAAGGGGTAGCAGGTTTTTTGACTGGGCACAAGGGGAAGGTTGGGTGGGTTCGGCTCGGGATCAGATAACGAAGAGGGAGGTTTAGATGATTGGGTGAATGGGTGGGGTGGGCTAGCAGACACAGGCTTACCAAAAGGGATAAGGGTAGCTGGGTTGGGCTGAGGATTGGGCAACGGCCCAAACTTCCTCAACCAGACCTTCTTAACCGGCCAGGGCCTGTCGGTTCGCTGCAAAACAGGGGAGTTACCTCTACTGACACGCCCACCTGGGGACCCGCCAAATCCATCGAGATTGGTGAGCGGGGGAAAAGGTGGCGGTTCGACTGCCACTGGAAAGCTTTTCGCCTGACCACTGAACTGAACAAGAAGGCGGCGGCGATTCAGGTCCACCGACGGACTCTCGACGGCCGGAGGAATCACAATCTTAATCGAGAAGAGAGTTGAACCAGAGATAAGCGGCACCTGCTCAGGGATCTGAGTTCCAGACTTGACTTTAATACAAACGTACGGTTCTTCCCATCCATTGCGATTCACGTCCACGAAACCCCCACACAGATCACCGATCTTCCTGCAGACGTCTAAGCATTTGAGGTGGGCCGGAATTCCAAAAGCCATGATCCAAGTCAAGCCATTCTGAGGGCCGACACATCTTCCGACACCCTCCTTCCAAAACTTGGCAATAACATTAAACCCCTGGAAGAAGGATCGCCGGCAGGATTGCACACGAATCGCCTCCTGCAAAGAGGGACAAACCAGCGTCCACAAATCCCCAACTTTCTTGGAGAAGACAAAGTTGTCGTTCAGCTTCCAGTTTACCCGAGCCCACTCCATGAAAGGTCTTTCCAACTCGTCGGGTAGCCCTCTATTCTGTACACCATAGAACTCCAGTGAAAGGCAATGATCCAAGAAGGACCTTCGCTCATTCACCCCTTTTCCATCCACCTCGATATAACGGATCCCATTCAAGATCTTGATTTTGCAGTTTCCCTCCAAGCAAGGTAGACCCTCCTTGACGGCCGTAGCATAAGATCTGCCAGGGAGAACGACAGCCGAGCGATACTGGCGGCGGACTCTAAAATGACGCTTTCTGAACGCAGCAAAAAGGCGGTCTGAAAGAGCAAGCCAACCCTCAGAATCAGACGGGAGGAGGAGAAAGAAAGACCTCCCATTCGGGCAAAGCTCCAAAATTTTGACTCCATCCCCAAAGCGATTGGCAAACCATTCCACTGATATCCTGCGACCACTCCCAGAATTCTCCCAACAGCGCCGAGGGCGGCACGACTTCCTGCTGAGATCCCGTAACAACTGCCCCAGCCAAACCGCCAGAGCCTCGTCAAGGAAGATGAATCGTCGCCTCCCTTCACTGTCCAACAGGGAGAATCTGAGAAGCATCCCATCTCTCGACCGAAACAGCTGAATGGTAGCGAGCTTGTCGCCGACTTTCCACGCTGGGCCAAGGCTGTCCTGGAGAGCACCACCTTGCCAAGCCGTCGCCGCCGCCGCCGCCGCTGAAGACCTGCAAGAAACAGAAAAGACACTCGAACGCCCCACGCTTGACTCTCTCACTCCCAAGGGAACTCTCACTCTCTCTCATCTTTTTTTGACTTGGAATCAAAATGTACGTTTACTAGCGCTATTATCATGAAGCCTTTTTCTTTTAGTTTTAAAGCTTAAAACTATTAGTTTCCATTGGTTGATTTTTCTTCAGACTTTCACCATTAAATCTAAAACTATTAGTTCAATAGGCTAATATGACAATCAGATATTCATGCTGATTGCTGAGGGCCTTGTGCTGGAAGTGTGAATATATTGTTTGCTGGTTGTGGATAGGATTCTGAATTGTTTTCACAATACCGATAGTACATCCAGCCAAAGAAAAGGCTCTCAAACTTGACCACCATTTTATCCGCAACCTTGGCCCTTAATTTGCCAGCAGGCATTTAAACCATCAATCAAAATCATGCCATAATTTGGAACCCACCAATTAAAATGGAGTACTATAAAATCACCACAGACCGAGTTGTATTTCATCAAACACCTTGCATAACAACTCTGAAATAGTTAAAATCACTAGATAACAACAATGGCTTCAGTAGCTGGAAACAAGCTGATGTTGATGCTGGTGTTGCTGATGGGGATCTATGCATACGGAGCATTCTCCGCAAGGCCCTCGGTACATCCTGTTAGCAGCATGAACGAAAGGTTTGAAGCATGGATTGCTCAGTACGGGCGAGTTTATGAAGACGCAGGAGAGAAGGCTAGGCGCTTTAGCATCTTCAAAAAGAATGTGGCCTTCATCAGTCACTTCAACAAGTTTGGAAACCAGACTTATAAGCTAGCCGTCAATCAGTATGCTGACTTGACCAACAAGGAGTTCAGGGCTGCTAAAACTGGATATAAGAAACCTGCCAATTTCATCAACCCTGCCCCTTCGTCATTCAGATATGAAAATGTGACTTCAGCACCAGACACCATGGATTGGAGAACCAAAGGAGCTGTGAATCCCATCAAGGATCAAGGCCAATGTGGTAAGCTTACTACAGGTCCAAACCTTTCCATCTTCCTGCCATATATGTTGTACCTTTATTAATTGTGTGCCCAAAAAAATCATCGCAGGAAGCTGTTGGGCATTCTCTGCTGTGGCAGCGGTGGAAGGGATCACAAAGATCTCAACTGGGAAGCTGATCTCTCTTTCAGAACAAGAATTGGTTGATTGCGACAGAACCACCAATGACCAAGGCTGCAATGGAGGACTCATGGATGATGCTTTTAAATATGTCAAGACCAAGGGACTGACAACCGAATCCAAGTACCCTTACTCAGCAGCAGATGGAACTTGCAGCACAGTCAAGACAAACTCTCCTGCTGCCAAGATCAGTGGATATGAAGATGTTCCCGTGAATAACGAGCAGGCATTGCTAAAGGCTGCAGCAAACCAACCTATCGCGGTGGCCATTGATGCTAGTGGCTCTGCCTTCCAGTTCTACTCCAGCGGAGTGTTCACTGGAGACTGTGGAACAGATTTGGATCATGGTGTGGCTGTTGTAGGATACGGGACAAGTGATGATGGTAAGAAGTACTGGCTGGTGAAGAATTCATGGGGGACCAGCTGGGGAGATCAAGGATACATCAAGATGCAGCGTGACGTTGGTGCCAAAGAAGGGCTCTGTGGCATTGCTATGTCAGCTTCTTATCCTACCGCATAAAACAGCAGAAATTAGCTGGATAATATCCATCATCCTGAGGAAAAATGTGTTCTATTTAAAAAGTGTCTTTTATGCAGCTGCCATGATTCCATTTGTATAAGCATTAACGATGCCACATCTTAATATGTATCTTTCTCATAACTATTAACTAGGGGGAAAAAACAAAAGAAAACCAGTATAATCATAAATCAAAGCTTATCATTTTAATCAATTATATAATGTCTTCTCATAAAAACAGAGTTTTCCACTTTTTACCAAGTTCAATTATTAAATTTGAAGTTTTGAACCAGATTAATTGAGGAAGAATATACAGCAAGAAATTGCGAAATCAACACATTTTGAACAAACAACTCCGGATAGTTCAATTAAACAAGTACTTCCTTCCTTTCTTCACCAGAGCATAGGAAGAAAATGACAAACTTATCGACTCCAAGCTGTCTGCTAACATATTATGGAAGGATAAAAAAATCGCCTATTAAAAAATACAAAAAACTCTTGTCTGGTAAGGGATGGGGTGGGATTGAGGAAATGGCAAATATTAGTAACAGAAGAGAAACAAGTGACTTACTTTTACAGAGGAGGGCTACTATGTTTTCTTCCCTCCTAGCCATCTTCATTGCAGCAGTAAACAGCAGAACCCAATGTTAAGAGCTACTTCCAAGCAATATCCGCTGAAAATCAAGCGCACAGGCAGTGCCCATTTTGTTGGACCATTTCTCTATTGTTTGAAAGGACCCAAACTTGGTTTTCTCAGCCAAGCGACTTCATAAACAAGTGACTGTCTCTCTCCGGCTAGATTTTCCTCAAGCAGCATCAGTCTGAACCTAATGAAGGATGCATGGAGAACAATGGAAAATCAGCCTTTACATCCATTTCACCCTTCAGAAAGTTTGTGATGGACCTGACCTCAACCCATCTTGGATGCTTTTTATCAGCAGCCACAAAACTGTGGGTTACTCCATCCACAACCAGAGAACTGCATCCTGCAGTCTTCTTCACTCCTTTACTTCCCATAGCCTCCCTTATCTCGTTAGAATTACACCACTTCCCTTCAGCGGCATACATGTTAGACAACAGCATGTATCCCCCATCATCATCCGGCTCTAATTTTAGAAGCTCCGTCAAAGCTTTCTCCGCTATTTCCTCATCTCCATGTGATTGACAAGCATTCAGTATTGCACCCCAGATTGATCGAGTTGGTTTCATTGGCATTCTTTCAATAACTAGTTTTGCTTCGCCCAACCTTCCTGATCTCCCTAAAAGATCAACCAAACAACCATAGTGCTCAGCACCAGGTTCAATGCCATAGCTTGCCATACAGTTAAATATCTTAATCCCCTGATCCACCAAACCACAATGACTACAAGCTGCAAGGACAGCGATAAAAGTAATTTCGTTTGGAATTAGCTCTTCCTTCATCTTGGAGAAAAGTTTTAGTGCTTTACTTCCATAACCATGAAAAGCAAATGCATTTATCATTGTTGTCCACAACGTGACATCCTTTCTGGTAACAGTCTTGAATATGTTGAAAGCTTTTTCCAAATTTCCAGTCTTGTAATACATCTCAACCAGTGCTGAACCGAGATTAGCATCAATGTCCATTTTCCATCTAATTAACAATCCATGCACCGACCTACCTTGTTCCAGACCTCCATACTCTGCTGCTGCAGATACCAAGCAGCCCATTGTGACACTGTCAGGTCTAATATTTTGCAATCCCATGTCATGCAATAATGATTTAATCATTGTAAAGTCACCATAACAAGCATAGCCAGAAATCAATGAATTCCAAGAAAACATATCAGGAGTAGACATTTGATTAAAAAAAGCACGTGCAAGCTCCAAATCACCAAGCTTGGCACACCCAGCAACCATAGTGTTCCATGAAACAATATCCTTCTCCTTCAAAGTCTGAAACAACCTCTCAGCAACTTTCAACTCACGACACTTCACATACATGTCAAGAAGAGCATTACTCAATATCAAATTTGACGAACCGAAAGAGTTTCTCCTACCTATCCAAGCATGAACAGCCTTCCCCAACTTAACATCCCCTAATTGACCACAGCAAACTAAAAGACCCGACATTGTGAAATCATCAGGCTCAACGTCCAGACCATCCATCCGAAGGACAAGCTGTAGAGCTTCGAAGGGGCACCCTTGCTTGGCATAACCATTAATCATGGTATTGAACGAAACAATATCCGGGCTAGACATGCATTCAAACAGCTTACGTGCAAGAAACGTCAATCCACTCTCCAAGTAAACCTTAAGAATGAAATTTTGCAGGTACCCATAAGATAATAACCCGAAAACTATAGCATGACAATGTATCTGCATCCATTCCGCGCCAAATTTAGAGGCACGCAGAAGGTAAAGCAGTGTATTCTCGTCGGGGAAAACACCAGAAGAGAGCAAGGAACCATACACGCCGAATGACCGTTTGACTGCAGGGCACAGAGCAGATATCATGGTGTTGTAAATGAACAGATTGGGCCTAGGAGTGAACCGTTCAAAGAGAATCAAAGCCAAATCGAGATTCTCAGGGTACGAAATCGCGGAGAAGTAAATAAGTCGACTCATGGGGAAAGTCTGTCCAATGAGATTACTTCTCAATACCTGCGCCAATACCTGTTTGAACTGAACCCCATCATTGCATTTCTCGAGCAAAACAAGGGACGGATGATTGAGCTCCAGGGCCACCGTAGGATCCCAGTTGGTGTTCCTATTCTTACCATTTGCAACGCGGCTAAGGAAGCGCAGCCCTCGGCCACAAATGTACATCGGAACGAACCCTATATTGCTTGATTGATTTCAAGGTTGGGGACTTACCCAGCACTGCAAGCTTCATATTTGGGGAGCATCGCTCATTTAGCGGGCTCTGACTAGCAGCAAGTCGAGCGGTTTCATGGAAGAGTGATCCTGAACATGACGAACTTGTTGCTATCGTACTTCCAAGCCATTGAGCTCGAGCCGATGGATAGCACAGGAAGAAGGGAAAAGAGTTTGGAAAAATCAGCTCTAGAACTCTGGAGATGGGCGGAGCCTGGTCGAGAGGAAAATTTTTCAAAATACACGTGAAAATTCCAAAATCCCAAAATATCTACGTTTGGTGAAATTTTTTTAATTTACACAGGTTTGGACATCATCTCGGTCCAAACATGTGTAGATTGAGAATTTTTCATAAAATGTATGTATTTTAGAAATTTTTATGATAACGTGTATATTCTAGAGAAAATTCGTAAATATAGGTATTAAATTAAAACTATCTCGCTCGTTAATTTTATTGCAATTCAAAATGACTAAACGTCAATGATTCGCACTCCACCTGATTTGTGACTTGATTGAGTCGCAAACTGGTCAATTTATAGTTTGACTAGGACGTAACCTAATTACCCCGAATCATATCGAGTCGTAATGTGATCAAACTAATAATTCCTTTGATCCCAGCATAATTGACCCGACTAACTCGTAACCCGATCGATCCCATCTGAACGGAACTCGCTCGATTGACCTAAATAATTACTATATTATATAATATATAGTTTTTTACAATGAATTTTTTGCTTCAAAATATGAAATTCACTTGGAATGATTTATTATTTAGTAAAATTAAAAAAATTATTTCTTGAAATTGACGTTCTTTAACAAAGTTAAAAAAATAAACATGAAATATTTAATTAGCACAATTCCAAATATTATAACTAAATGATTAAAAATTGAGCCAATATATAACATTAATATAGTACATGTACATTAAAATAGTAGTTAATTAACTATTCAACAAAGTTATCAATTAATTTAAACATAGTTAAGTAATGTATTTAATAATTTTATTGTTTAAAAATGGGAAATTTTTTATGTATTCAACTTCTTAGAAAAGAGAAAAGAGGAAAATTTGTGCTTTCAGTTTCTGAAAAACGAAAGAAATAGGAAATTCAATGCTTTTGATTTACGTTAAGAAAAAGAAGTGATAAATTTTGGTACATTTTATTTATGAAAAAAAATATTTTAAAACGAAAACATAGAATTACTAAATCTACAAACATTCAAGTGATAAAATAAAGCGATATAAGATACAATTTCAATCTATTCGTAAATAATTTACAACAACAATGCATTAACCGACTAGAACTTCAAGTTTTCAAAATAACACACATAATTGATGATTTGCAACATGAAATTAATTTAGTTCTAAACATTTCTCTCAATGCATAGACAATGTCTTAATCACTAAATGCTAAATTCTTAAACCATCATATGTAAAAATTGTGATAATCAAATTGATAAGTAATTAAGTATCTATCTATCTATCTATACATAATATTATGGCAATTCAAAATTAAATTTTTGCCACATAAGCACTTGGAGAGATCTCAAGTTGCCAAGGTGGACAATTTTTTTACCAAAAAAATTGATATTGACTTATTTATGGAGTTGTCCCTCTCTCTTCATTTAATATTTAATTCTCTTTTATCCAATAATTACTTTGCTTTTGTTTTTGCATTATATCTATAAATAATATATTGAGAGAAAGGTTATCAAACCGGTTTAGCAAGTGGAATGGTTTTACCAGTGGTACAACCGGTTTGTGTCGTTTCATGCCGGTTAATAAAATATGTAGAAATATAAAAAATCATTAAAATCAAATGAATTGAATCATATATAAGCTATATTTGAAGACAATTTACGTGCAATTCACATTGATATTTGAATAAAATATGATATTTCAAATAAAATTACATGTACTCATACTTAATTCACTAAAACTACGTATTTTACTAAGGAATTCGTAAAACGCTCATACCGGTCTTACCGATGGTGTCATGTCGATTTCATGACCGGTACCGGTTGAATAGTTCGACGGTGGCATGCCGACCGACGTGACAATCATGATAGAGAGTGACATATATCACATTTTGGTTTTGCATTATATCGATGTACGCAACAGTATACTAATGTTCGTAGAGTGACATATATATCACACTTTTTAAACCAAAAAATATATGATTAAAGATTACTATGTAAATTTCTGGTCATTTTTACTAAAAATTAATAATAATTTATATTTTAATGAATAATTCAAACAAACACACAAAATAATAATATTTGGTTGATAATGTCTGAAAGAAACTTGACAAAGAAATAATAGTTATTTATTAAAAAAAGCTTTTTATTCATTCTGATCAAGTGAAAACATATGAATCGCATGTGCAGTATTTATAATGTATCCTAAGTTCACATTACTAATATTTTCTCTAGGTCATGTTGATTGACCAAGCTCTATTGAGGTCTTACATCATATGTTAAGAAATTTTCTTTTCAGACTTGGATTTATTTATTGATAAAGATTATAAATTGAAGTTTCCAAAATGACTTGAGTATAATAGTTGATGAACTTTGACTAAGACATGAGATCACGTGAAAAATAAAATGTGTGAAATTTAGAAAAATCTTTGTTAAGGATGTTCGTTAAACATCGCATTTCATGCTAAGAAAAATCTAAATTAGAAGATTGAGAAAATAAATAAACATTAATGTTTTACTTCACATATATAACAAAGAATTTTTATAGTTACAATAGTGTAAACCGAGCTATTGGGTCTAAAGAAGAATATTTAATAAATATGAGTTTAGTAAGAAAATTATAACAAGTCTATATAGTTGTGAGTCTGTGATTTCATACAAAATTTTGGCAATAACAAAAAAAAAATTGATATCATATTCCACTCAAGGAGCTGAGTTCAAAGGTATTAATTAGTGTTGAAAGTAAAATAAACTCTCTGTGTGTATATATTTATATATGTTTAGATATTAACAATAGATATGTCTACAATACATCCAATAATTTAAATACATGTGAAAAGTCACAATGTTTGTATGAATTTTAAATTTTGCCACAAAATATTTTGTGAAAAAATTATAAGTTAATTCTTCAAGGAATACATAATTTTGAATGCACCAGAAATATTTGTCTGTCGTATACACACTTTACCAATAATTAATATAAGTAATGAACTTTTTGTTCTAGAACTAACGCCAAATATAAAGAAATTTTAGTGAATCGAGATTCAAATAGTTGAAAATTATACATTGAAGGAACATGTTAAGATGAGAACCTTCGATAGTGTATATGAATCCTCGAATTCAGATTCTAAACGAACATCTAGACAAAATGTATGGGTTGAGGGTTAGTACAAACTTAAAATATTAGCAATTGTAATAAGTTGCTATACAAAGACTTCATGAACATCAACAATTAATGAGTGAGATTTAGAGAATTTAATCATTATAACGGATACGATGTGTGTCAAATTTCAATTGGGATAAACATAATTTATCTAGTAATCAAGTATCTTTTTTCAATAATTTGAACTCTGATTAATTGGCCGAGTTTTCGTACAAACTCGAGAATCATGAATTGATATATGTATAAGATAATAAATTTGAGCGTCTTGGTGGAAAATTGTTTATATACGATCCTAAATGGGACGTGATAAACCTTTACGACATGATTTATGATCAGAGAATAAAAAACTTCACAAGCAAGTGTGCTAACTATTAAATAATATTTGATATAGGCATACCACATATTCACGTATGAAGCGAGAGCAGAAAATGTATACAAAATCCAAAAAGTTCAAACATGTAAATAAGTTAACTAATATAAATAATAAAATGAATTTGTCCAGCCAACTGGCCGGGTGAAAAACTAGTATGATCTATAATGTAAAACCAACATGCATTTGAGATAGTTCGAATGAGATTATATTGAAGATGAGATGACATCATGATAGACGCTCAAATATAATATAGTCTATTAGCTATTCCATGTAAGACTATAAATCTATAATATAGCCAATTAGCCATGCGCTTCACATAAAATATCAAGATTCATATTTGAAAAACTTAAATTTTGAAACACCCAAAAGATGAAAGCACTCAAATTTCATCTTCTTTCAAATGTCAAACAATTGAAAACACCAAAATTTCCTCCTTCCCTTCCCATTTTTAAAAGCCCCAAATTTTTCGAAAAAAATCTCACTGTACACACGTTCTTAAAAAAAATTCCCAAAATACATGAGTTATAAAAAAATTTCCGTCATCACCGCTTTTGTCTAAAACGGTGATGCTCAAACATGTGTACTTTTGAAATTTTTTTTATAACTTATGTATTTTGGGAATTTTTTTTAAGAACTAGTGTACTTTGAGATTTTTTCCAAATTTTTCCTCTTCTTTGTCTTCCAAAAAATTAAAGGACTAAATTTCTCTCTTCTTTCTCTTCCCAAAAAGTAAAAAACACATCCTCCCAAATCTTGGTGTACTTTCTTGCCTTCCCCGGGCTATATTTTGGAGACTTTGGGAAGAACGTAATTCACTGACGTTCCATGATGTTGGAGTCCAACAGAGAAGTCCTCGAGCGCATCATCCAGACTCCTACATAATGGATTTTCATTTGGCGGAATACTACAAGATCATCCTTCAACGAATACTAGTCAAGTCTAATATATGTTGTAGTACCGTACTTGTAACGATGAATGCTGTGCTTTTAGTTTTTTCCACTTGTATATTCCTTTCCTCTTTGCCATTATGGAATATGAGTTTTTATTTAACTGTTTTATGGCACACCTTTTAATTTGTGGTTGTAATAGGACTACTGAATGGAGATGTTGATCTCACCATAACTACTAAATATTGTACTTTACGGTTTGGGATAGGGTCAGTAACCATTGGTTACTGACCTATCAGTAAATACACGGGAACCGTAGATATGAGGATGGAGCAATCGGGTGGTTGGCTGGACGCGGAGGTGGGGAAGGGGCATTTTTGTCCGTTTATGTATTTTTACTTTATTTTTTTTTAAATTTATTCCGCATTTCAATGTCTGACTTTTCAATGAAAGAGAAAGAATAACATTTTCTCTGCAACTCTATTTTCTTTTTTCTCTCTTCCTTCTCTCTTCCTTTTTCCAATTTCTTTCCAGATCATTTCTCTATTTCTTCTCTTACATTTTCTCTCACAATCTCCTTTTCAAATCTAGATCTGCTCTCTTCCATCTTTATTTTTTTTCTCTAGCAATCGACTAATAAAAATTGAAGTCACCCTCTTTAATTGCGTTTCTTCTCTTCATCAACTCGTTGGCTTTAATTTCGATCTTTCTCCTTTTTTGGCGTTTGGTGTTCTTTGGTTGCGGATGAAATGAGATGAGACAGAAGACAAGTTTTTTTTCTCTCCCTCCTTTTGTTTTTTCCCCTTTCTTTTAGATAATATATATTGGTATTACCACACTATACCATATGGTATTATGTGGTAACGAAATATATATTGGTATTACCACTCTATACCATATAGTATTACCACACTATACCATATGGTATTGGGTGGTAACGAAATATATATTGATATTACCACACTATACCATATGGTATTGAACGAAATATATATTGGTATTACCACTCTATACCATATGGTATTGGGTGGTAACGAAATATATATTGATATTACCACACTATACCATATGGTATTGGGTGGTAACGAAATATATATTAGTATTACCACTCTATACCATATGGTATTACTACTCTATACCATATGGTATTGGGTGGTAACGAAATATATATTGATATTACCACACTATACCATATGGTATTGGGTGGTAACGAAATATATATATTGATATTACCACACTATACCATATGGTATTGGGTGGTAACGGTATGATCTAATTTAATACCAGTCAATACCATATGGTATGACTGGTAATAACTGGCAAATTTTTTTATGTCCAAAAAATATCAAAGTGTATATCATTTTGAAGAACACAATTAATCTGATCTAACTGTGCAAAAAAAAAATTCTGACTTAAAACGAGTGAGAAATCATCTGTTAAAGATTAAGAGAATGAAAATTAAAGGTTTTTCGAGGAGAGAGGAGGCGCTGACGTGGTCTGGTCAAAAGTCAGGATTGACAATAAATAGGGGCAAGGGCAATTTTACTTTACTGTCCTTTCACATTTAATTTAAATAAAAAAAGGGACTGACACGTGGAGACAAGGGAAGGGGTTACTGATGGGTTACTGACCCATCAGTTACTGACCTGATCTGGTCCCGTACTTTACCCATTATAATTAATAACATGACAAGTATGCAAGTCATACAATTGCAATGACTCAAACATCTATAAAAAATACAAAATAATTCTACATTTTGACAAGTTTCTTTTAACTTTTCTAAGTATATATACGAGGTAGAAATAACTTGTCCAAAAATTGTTAAAAATATTTGAAATTAGTGTAATGAATAATGTAAAAGTTATAATGAGTAAAGAGTAAGTAACAGAATGCGATGACCCGAACATTTTGCAATCCACCCGACCTGTAACCCGCAACCCGATTTATCTGAAACCCGATGAACGCACAACCCAAATGACATGCAACCCAATAAACCCATATTCCTACTATCGCTAAGGACACTTTATTTATAGTGTTTGTCACACCCATTGTGGATACATTTCCCCTTTCTATAAAAGCATCATGGAAACAAAGATCTAGCTCAACTTTTCTTGAGCATATAGAAGGAAACTTCCCAAGCTGAGCAATTCTAAATTATCGCTGCCGGCTGTAAAATCATACTTCTTCTAGGCAGGGTCGAGAACATCTACACCATATCAAGTGGTATCCATTTCATTTCATATTTAAGCCTCACGTGTCCATAAGGACTTCTAAACTTCCTACCAAGGTTCCACATCAAAGATGAATGATCCTGTCCCTGAATTCTTGGATGAAAGGATACACGTGGATTCATTCTACAACTCGAGAACAGGGTGGCGTTCACAACACATTGCTACAACAATCGGATTTTCGTGCAAAAACATAGCAACTACATATGCTTATACGATGCTCATACGCTATCCTTTGAGCTTCATACTTCAAGATCTTGCTGCTGCGGCTTCTTTTCTTCACTGATTGCTGCAGGTGTCTCTGTAGTGGTCTCTTCAGGTTCCCTTTTGAGCTCAGTCTCGAACTCTTTTGCTGCCTGCAAAAGTTAGTAACTCATAAATAAGACTCATCGTCCTTGGTAGAGAAACACGTTTAAAGGATTGCACACAAATTCTCTAAGAATCAGTATCACATCAGAAAAAAAGCCAACTCATCTGCTAATAGCATCTGTCATAATACGTAAAAGACTGTCTTGCTAACTAAGTTGTGGGTACATAATGAGATATAATTGCTTTGAATCAGTTTTCTTAGGCACTAACCCTTAACGCTGAACTGCAGAAGAATCACAAAAGATCAGGCTTTTCTTCTGCAACAATGTCGTAACTCTTACCCAACATTAAGGTTTCAAGATTCCTCCTAGTGCAGGAGTCTTTAACATAATTAGCGAAATGAGCACCAAGATCATAATGCAACAGGCCAAACAAGTACACAAATTTTTAAGTCGATTAACAATCCTTCCACTCACAATCAACCACAATGGAGTAATTCACTTATATCTGAAATGGCAACGACAATTAGAACTGAAGAAAGCAAAGAGCATGCTTAACCAAACAAATCTCATTAGTCTATAGGACACTCTGCAAAAACTGCCTCGAAAGCCCTGAAGTTCAATCCTCTGGCAATGGCACAAAACCTACCGGATTGCAAATGTGGGAATGTGCGACTTAGAAGAACCTATCTAGATAATAACAAATAAAAAAACCATTAATAGCACACCAATGGAAGTAACGAGAGCAAGGATAAGGATACAGAAGTCGATTGGAGATCCAAATACAACAATCATGCAATAACTAAGGACACAGAAATGAAATAGTAGATTCACTAGGAAGCTCATGTCGACTTTCTTTCCAATTCATTCTCACACCTGAAATTTGCGCACCTGAAACCCGAAACTGGCCGGTCACCAGTGAAGTTCAAGCCCACACAATCAAAAGCCAATATCCTATCTATTTTAGCATCTGTTCAGCAACCAAGAGTAAATCGATCCACAAACCCCAACTCATTTAATTGGGGTTTCAGTTCATCTACCTACCAAACCACTCCTAAGCAGCCATAACCAAACCTCTATTCTTCCCAACAACAATGAAGCAGGAAGGCGAAGTAAAGAAAGCACAACTAACTAACCTGTTGGAAGCTCTTGACAGTTTTACCAATACTCTTGCCAACTTCGGGGAGCTTCTTGGGACCGAAAACCAGAGCTGCCACACCAGCAATCACGACAAGCTCCGGAACGCCCAAACCGAACAGAGCATAGCAACCCATGCCCTTTTTGGGTCTGTGGGTTCTAACCCTGCCCATGAACAGAGAGCTGCATCTCTTGGGCGTACTGTAGAGGGAGACTCCAGCGGTGTTGAAGAAGGCGGAGGTGGAAGAAGAAATGGGCAAAGAAAGCGGCGGCGGCCTGGAAACTGAAAGGGTAGTGGAAGCGATCTCCATGGCTATGGGGAGTATTGAGGGTGTTGGGGGATTCCCTGTTGTTTTGCTTAGGTTTTTGTTCTGTGGCGCGATTGGATTGGAGAAGATGATAACAAATTGGAACGATGTGGCTGCTGGCTGGGATGATTCTTCTATTTCTTTCCCCAATTAGTTTTTTTATAGGATTTCTTTCCCCAATTATTCAACTACTCTCTTTCAGTATTTACTATTTTCTTTTTGTGTTCCCATGTTTTAAATATTTCATTTATTGTCGTTCTATTAATTTATTACTCACCAAACCAACGAAAAAATATTTACTTATACTCACGTGGTTTTGAATTTGTGAAAGGGTAAGTGTAGACCGTGTAAAAGTTAGTGGTAGAGTATTTTGTAGTAATTTTTTTTTTTGACAAAAGGTAATCATATATTGATTCAAGAAGAGATAATTACATCCTGGAGAGCAGCCAGGCCTGGAAATCAAAAACACGACAAATAGTTGGAGACAAAGGAAGGGCCTTCTTAGCCACCCTGTGGGCTACCCTATTGTTCTTCTGACCTATAAATCGCACACCCAACCCCGGATGAGACTGAAAATAATGTAAAACTTCTTCCAAAATAGCTCCCACCCGGGTATCACTAGCCTCCTGCAAAATAATCTTGTCAATAATCACCTTGGCATCACCCTCAAACCGCACATCTATGAATCCAAGACCCAAACACCAGTCAATCGCCTCCCGAAGGGTAAGTAATTCAATGACCATTGGATCAACCAGGCCCGGAAACTGGACCCCCTTAGCCAGAAGTACTTCACGGGCCGCATTCATCAGCACCATAACCCCAGCCGAGGGAGCCCCCCGCCTGGTAGCCCCATCCCAGCAACAGACGACCCTGAGATCAGCAGACGGGGCACCTGGGCGGATGGAGTGGATATGAGGCGGGACAACTCTATCCATGGGAAGGCTCACCCACTCCTCATATTGCTGGTGAAACTGCCTCATTAAGGCCTCGATCCCAAATTGCTTTCTCTCAAAGACAACCCAATTTTTGTAGTAAAATTTTAATTTAATTTAGGTTAAATGATAAGTTTGGTCATTCAGATTACTAAAAAGTTTCATATTTAGTCACTAAAAATATTTAATTCCATTCACGATCACGGAGATTACTAAAACAGTCCAAGTTTGGTCACTCTCCGTTAACTTCTGTTAGTCTCCATTAATGACGTTAGTTTTTTGCTGATGTGGCTAACAAAAGTGTCCAGTCATCAAATTTTAACCCCAAAATACTCAAAACCCGACCCGCCACGTCATTAAACCCGCCACATAAGATATCTGATAGACCGTTAATTACACATGTTTTTACCCCTGTTCTTACACCGTTTGAGATGTGGTTTCTCGTGTTTTAGACCGATTTCACGCTAGGTTGTGCTTGTTTGTGATATTTCAGGTACTGGCAAGTGAATGAAGGTTTAGGAGCGAGCTCGGGGTCGATTGGGCGAAGATCGGGCGCGAGGCAAGTCACAAAGGAGGCCACACGGGCACACCCACAAATCACACGGCCGTGCAACTCATATTTCTGGCCGTGTGAGATTGTGCGAGAGCAAACACGGCCTGCCCTGACAACACACACGGCCGTGTGAAGGAGTGGCTTGGCCGTGCGAGTTTTGCCGAGAGCAAACACGGGCAGATGGAAGTCACACACAGCCGTGCCACTCGGGCCGTGTGAGAAGCCTGGAATTCGACTAAGTGATACGGTGCGTTTTGCCTCACACGGGCAACTGGGTAGGCCACACGGCCGTGTGGCCCTGCCCGTGTGAGTCGGGATTTCCTGGTTTTAAGCCAAATTCCGAACCAAAGAGGAGGAGAGCTGGGTTTTTGGATCCCAAACACCCAAGGGACGAACCAAAGAGAGAGAGGGCGATTTGAGGGCATTCTTGGAGTAGAGAAGGAGGATTTCTTCGCCTTGGAAGCTTGAGGAACAAGCCCGGACTTGAAGACTGATCATCTGAAGATTCTTACTGCAGTCTCTCTCTTTTCTATGGAGTAACTTCTCTTCACTTAGGTTTTGAGGAACCCTAGCTATGTTTGTTTGATTGGATGATTGTATGAGTACTCTGACTTGATAATCTTGAGTTCATATTCAATCTATGCATGTTTTCATGATTCAATTCTGCTTTAGTCGAGATTATTGATTCTGCTTTGATCCTATGAGAGGGAATACCTGATTAGGTCAATAGAGCACCATAGATTGATAGTAGTGGATCGATTGCTTTAGTCAAGGGTTGATTCACTGCTTTGTATCGATTGAGAACCTCTTTCGATAGAGGGAGTCTAGTTCAGAACGCCTTGATCAGTTGTTCTAGAGAAGGATACGTCCCTCTAGGCAATTGACTCAAGAGGGCCTTGTTCCTTTAGTCGAGACTCAAGGTCTAGTCAAGGATTCTCCGCATTGTGAATGAAAGTGAAACAGGTTAGAGATCATCAATCATTAATCTGGCTAGTGGCTAGGGGGAATCATACCTAAGTGAGTTCCCAACCTGTAATTAGATTAACTTTAACTGTAGTTTGCTAGAGTAGTTTTAGTTCTTTCATCTTAATCTGATTTGCTAAATAATAAACTGAAGCTGAGTAATAGTAACTCTATAGACCCGTGGATTCGATATTTATCACTTGAGCCACTTTACTGCAGTCCCTTTCATTGGTTACACTTGGCCTTTGTTAGGTGTTGTGTTTTAGAGCATCAAGTTTTTGGCGCCGTTGCCGGGGACTTTCTAGAGTATTAAGAAAGGCAGAAGTTTGTTACTTTAGCGTTTTTCTTTTCTTTTCTTTTCCACCCTTGCTTTTCACTTGGGTGTTTTTGTTTTTGTTGGTGCAGATCTGAATCATGGATCCTAATGGCTTCTCCAATCATTGGGGGTATCCACCACCACCTGAGTGGTATTACCCCGAGACTCCCTGGAGCAATCAAGGAAGAGAAGACTATGGATTCGGGTTCCAGTACCAACCCCCTTACTACGGAGAACAACCGGATCCCTGGGCATATCAAGAACAACCTCATTACCAAGAAGAATTTTTCCCACAACCAGAGGGGCTATTGGAGCTGGAGTTACCCATGGCGGCCTTCACGGGCCATTCTGCAGAGCCATGCTACACTCCACAGCCAGATCCACACTATGAATTGAGACTTCTCATGGAGCAGTTTGCTGGAGACTGTGATAGAACATGCTCCAGGATGGATCATTGTGTCCAGGCCTATCGTGAAACAGAGGAGATCCTCCTGAGCCTTAAGAAGAGCGTCGATGATCTTGAGCGATCTTGGGCACAGCCTGCTCCAGATCACCCTTCTGCTACCATACAAGAAGAGGAGGAGGAAGAAGAAGGCTACAAGGACATTGTGGAGCACACTGAAGTTGTCACGGAGAGCTCCCGTGATGATCATGATCAGGAGTGTCCTGTCGTAGCCGACCACACCTTCCCACACCCCAAACTGCGCTTTGAAGAGGCGGGCATGAGTGAGGAGTTGCAAGAAGATCTCATGAAAGAAATTGCTTGGCAACTTGCTCTCCAATCCGTGCTAGAAGAAGAAGAAGAGCAACAAAGGGTGCAGAAAGAAGTTGTGGAGGATGACGAAAGTGAAGCAGGAGGAGTTCTTGATCATTTCCCAGGGGTGATACCACATGAAGAAGAAAGGGGGGTTGAAGAAGCAATTGGCGTCCAGGCTGAGGACGGAGTTAAGGTGGAAGAGGCCTGCACCGGCCATGAGTTACATGTGATATCTCCACCAAACTTCGAGGAACTGCTTAGCAAGGACCCATTTGCAGTGTCTCTTTGCCAGACCAAGCCCACCTCGACATCGGTCCCTCTTGGTGGACGCGATGGTGGCCAATCGATGCTGTCATATCTGGTTTGGGGCAATGAGACGAGAGAAGAGAAGGAGAGGTCTCGAGGGTGGAGACTTCATCTGCATCAAGTACATGAGCCTTCATCACCTGCCACACCACATGCTCGTGACTTGAGACTCCACCTCATCGACGAGAACCTCAACTTCAAGGAGGTTCTAGCATGGACCAAAACTTAGGAGCCATCGTCCGGCTCACGACGTGAAAGAAGCGCTTGTTGGGAGGCAACCCAACCAGTCGGTTTGCATTTCTGTCTCTATTTCTCCTCGGTTGAGTCAGTTTTGCTATTTGATTTTAGAGTCAATAACTCAACCTTTGTGAGATTTTGTGTGGTGTTTGTGTTCTGATTACTCTCTCTTTCTGGATGGCACCGCCTGACCCGTTCATCATCATTCACCCTTGATCTGGTAACTTCGTTCTACCCTCCTTATCTTTCCTCCATTGAGGACAATGTCGTGCTTAAGTGTGGGGGGATGTTCGATTATGTATGCGGGTGAATGTTTGGCTGTTTGTGTGCTTGGAGCCTAGTCCACTGTCCAAATTTTTAAATTTGAGGGCTCCAAGTACGTGTTCCTTGCAATTGCCTGCTCAGTATGCTTTGAATTGACAGTCTCTATAGTAATATGCAACCTAGGGAGGTGGTGTAGCACTATGGAGGATGTTGATGCATTTAGGAAATCTCATTTCTTCTTCATATTGTGTTGGTTGATTGAGTGAATTAGTAATCTTAGGACCCTTGAATTGTGTGGTGTTGTGGATTCTCTGCCTGTCATGGACTCTTGTATCATGTTTTAAGTTTAACAGGTGCTCGAAAATGTGCTTCAAAATAACGTCTCCCGTGCGAATAGGGCGAAAGTGTGTAAGGGGAGACGGGAATCCGTTCCCAATTTCCACCTACTACCTCCAGCCCCCTTACATGTCTTTCCCCCGCACGAGGCTCGAGACATCCGCTCCTGGCATGGCCGGTAAGAGCAGGTTGGGACCCTTGGAAAAAAAAAAAAAAGAAAAAAAATAACAGAAAACAAGCAAAACAGAAAGAAAAAGGGTTCCAACCATCTTCAAGAAGAAGAAAAAGACAGCACCTTGAAAAATGTGAGTCCATGATCTTTTGTTTTTGAGAATCTCTTCATTCACTATTTGCCATGATGCCGACTCGATACTAGTGCTCTCGCCGAAGAAGCTATGAGATCATGACTTGTGCGTTGGTTGACCTCGTAAGTTGCTAAATGATCTAGGAAGTCCTCTACCTACGATCTGGGTTGTTTGTTGCTATAGAGGTCTGGAGAGCTGCATTGGTTTGAGTTAGGTTTGCTTGGGGACAAGCAAACGGTTAAGTGTGGGGGAGTTTGATAGACCGTTAATTACACATGTTTTTACCCCTGTTCTTACACCGTTTGAGATGTGGTTTCTCGTGTTTTAGACCGATTTCACGCTAGGTTGTGCTTGTTTGTGATATTTCAGGTCCTGGCAAGTGAATGAAGGTTTAGGAGCGAGCTCGGGGTCGATTGGGCGAAGATCGGGCGCGAGGCAAGTCACAAAGGAGGCCACACGGGCACACCCACAAATCACACGGCCGTGCAACTCATGTTTCTGGCCGTGTGAGATTGTGCGAGAGCAAACACGGCCTGCCCTGACAACACACACGGCCGTGTGAAGGAGTGGCTTGGCCGTGCGAGTTTTGCCGAGAGCAAACACGGGCAGATGGAAGTCACACACGGCCGTGCCACTCGGGCCGTGTGAGAAGCCTGGAATTCGACTAAGTGATACGGTGCGTTTTGCCTCACACGGCCGTGTGGCCCTGCCCGTGTGAGTCGGGATTTCCTGGTTTTAAGCCAAATTCCGAACCAAAGAGGAGGAGAGCTGGGTTTTTGGATCCCAAACACCCAAGGGACGAACCAAAGAGAGAGAGGGCGATTTGAGGGCATTCTTGGAGTAGAGAAGGAGGATTTCTTCGCCTTGGAAGCTTGAGGAACAAGCCCGGACTTGAAGACTGATCATCTGAAGATTCTTACTGCAGTCTCTCTCTTCTCTATGGAGTAACTTCCCTTCACTTAGGTTTTGAGGAACCCTAGCTATGTTTGTTTGATTGGATGATTGTATGAGTACTCTGACTTGATAATCTTGAGTTCATATTCAATCTATGCATGTTTTCATGATTCAATTCTGCTTTAGTCGAGATTATTGATTCTGCTTTGATCCTATGAGAGGGAATACCTGATTAGGTCAATAGAGCACCATAGATTGATAGTAGTGGATCGATTGCTTTAGTCAAGGGTTGATTCACTGCTTTGTATCGATTGAGAACCTCTTTCGATAGAGGGAGTCTAGTTCAGAACGCCTTGATCAGTTGTTCTAGAGAAGGATACGTCCCTCTAGGCAATTGACTCAAGAGGGCCTTGTTCCTTTAGTCGAGACTCAAGGTCTAGTCAAGGATTCTCCGCATTGTGAATGAAAGTGAAACAGGTTAGAGATCATCAATCATTAATCTGGCTAGTGGCTAGGGGGAATCATACCTAAGTGAGTTCCCAACCTGTAATTAGATTAACTTTAACTGTAGTTTGCTAGAGTAGTTTTAGTTCTTTCATCTTAATCTGATTTGCTAAATAATAAACTGAAGCTGAGTAATAGTAACTCTAGAGACCCGTGGATTCGATATTTATCACTTGAGCCACTTTACTGCAGTCCCTTTCATTGGTTACACTTGGCCTTTGTTAGGTGTTGTGTTTTAGAGCATCAATATCCCAATCCAACCTAACCCAACCCATGAACCCAACCCAACCCATCCTCTTCTCTATATGATAGGGATGGCAATGGGTCGGGTTGGGGCGGGTTTTGTCAAACCCAAACCCATGGGTTTGTCCGCAAAAAAAAAACCGGGATAAAATCCATTGGGTTTGAAAAACTCAAACCCAACCCAACCCGCTGGGTATCCACGGGTTCATGGGTACCCGTGGGTTTTTGTGGTAAAAAATTTACAATAACAAGTTTCTTTCAAAATAAAAGTTTAACATTAATTTTCTCATGCAAATTATTCATACAAAAAACACTAATCTAGAGCATACAAGTAAACCGCAAATGATCAATATAAATTGTTCAAAAGTAAAGATAAACATCTATAAACCACAAGATTAATTGAAAGTTTCTTCCTCGTCAACTAAGTTTCTTCACTCTCCACTCCATAATATCAACTTCATTCTAAACAATTAGAAAGAACAAATTATACATGTCTCACAAACATAAAGAATATTACAATTTAAAGGAAGATATATTACTTAGAATATTAAATATACCGGAAAAGTAATTACATGTGTGTGGGCGGGTACCCATGGGGCGGGTTTACCTAAACCCAACCCGGTGAATAGTGTAGCGGGTTTAAACCCGAACCCGACCCAAAACCCGTCAACACGAATTTTACCCGCATTGACCGGGTTGGGTCGGGTGGGTACCCGTGGGTTCGCGTTTTGTTGCCATTCCTACTATATGACCCGATTGAAAAAAATCTTATTCCCAAAAACCCTTCCGCCTCTCTCATCCTTCTCCTGATCTCCTCCGCCTCCACGCCTTATGCTACTCCCTCTCTTCCTCCATCTTCATGCCACCAAGTCCAGGGGATCAGATTGTCTCTGTTGGTGGTTCACAAGGAGCGCCCTTTCACCTTCCAATCGCCCATCCTCCCTCAGATCAACAGCTTCCTCTCAACCGCACTCCCCCACCACAGTTGACCCGAGGTTCACAATGGCTCTTTCTTCAATTAGTTCTACATGTCCATATACATAGGCGCTATAGTGGCTTCGTCGGTGCTGGTGTGGGTTCAGAACAACGTCGGGTGAGGCAGTTTGGGATCCCGGCAGTGGCAATGGCGGTTGCGGTGGCGACTTCTTCTCCAGAACACGATTATACAGGTATCAGCCAGCGACCCCAATCAACTACTTCGCAAGAGCTCCTCTACTGCCTCCCGCATGCAAGCTCGGATCTGAACTAAAAATGCCCCAATCTACTACTTCGTAACTCAATTGCCCCAATCAACTTTCATGACACAAGCTATTTCTTCCAATTGCACAGAAAGATGTTTTTGAATTCGGAATCGAACTTCACCCAAACCCAATTGATGGCGGCGGCGGGTTAGCAGGGGTTCCTGAACCCTCGTAACACACAACGAGTGGAAAGTTGAGGCCACCGTCGCTGTCGACCGGTAGAGCTTGATTAAGGAGGATGCGGCGGATTTGATTAGAGATGCTTCGTTGAATGGCCGGAAAGAGCTTCGAGTTCTGGGTGAAGTTGAAGCATACTGCTCTGCTTTTCCTTGCCGTTTTGGCGACTTGATCCAACCCGTGATCTGCTCAGGGGAGAGCCTCTACTTCCTCACCGCCAGTGGCAACGTCTTCCTCTTTGCTTCCACTCCCAGAAGGGGGTGATCGCCGTCAATCTGGTCGCCAAGAGGCTGAGGAAAATCCCGCCCAGAGACATCGAGAATAGTGAGGAGGTGGAGAGATTTGGGGATCGGGATTTTTTTCTCAGACGGAGGCGAAGGGTTCGGGTCATTGGTTGGGTTAGGTTAGTCTGGGTATCCGATGTGGCGGGTCAGATATAAATTGTTTTGGATTAAAATAGGTTGATGGGACACTTATGTTAGCCACATCATCAAAAAATTAACGTTGTTAATGGAGACTAATGGAAGTTAACGGAGAATGACTAAACTTGAACTGTTTAAGTAATCTTAGTGACCACGATTGGAATTAAATATCTTAAGTGACCAAATGTGAAAGTTTTTAGTAATTCTAGTGACCAATCTTGCCATTTACCCTTTTAATTTAATAAGGGTTACTAGTATAAATTGCTCCTCTACTATTGTATTTTCTCAAACTTGATCCTCTACTATTTTTTATATCAAACTTGTCCCTTTACTATATTAACTTTCTCAAAATTGCCCTTCTGTCATATTTTCCGTCTTGGTTCTGTCAAACATGGTCCAACCATAATTGGGTCAAGATGGGGAGGATTTTGTTTTTGGGATTTTTTTACCACGATACAAGATGGGGAGGACAATTACCACATATTAAGGGCAAAAATGACATTTAACCTTGACTCGAATGTAGTTCGACCGGAGTTAACACAATTTTAACGGAAAACATAACAGAAGGGCAAGTTTGGGAAGATGAATATAGTAGAGAGGCAAGTTTGATGTGAAAAATAGTAGAGCGAGGAAATACAATAGTAGAGAGGCAATTTATACTATTAACTTATTTAATTATGGTTCAACCGTTTCTACTGCTAAAATCACCTATCATTTTGAGTACGGTATTTCTAAGGTTTCCTAAACTTTAGAATTTTGATCACATCTTCATGGAATGAGGGCAAGTGTATATATTTTCCAAAGTATACTAGCATTTGAAAAAAAATTCTATATTCTAGTGTTATGAAATTTCTATTTTGATCATGCTTGTACTTGATTGTTGCAAACTAAGGGCCTGGCCATCCCCTTCCTCTCGATTTCTAGCGTTGTTCGCTCGCAGCTCAACCACGGACGTGGCCTAGGTTTCACGGATAGTCTTCATCGGCCGTGCGCAGGGTTCGCGCTATACCGTCATCACCGCGTTGGTCTTCTTTAGCTCCTCCACAAATCACGCAAATTTGTAGAGAGATTTCTCTAATGTCGTGAACTGTGATGGGTCCAACATGGCTTATGATTTGAGATACCGATAACCAGACTCTGATACCAATTTGTTGTAGGTATGATACTTGGGATATGAAAACGTAACAAGATATGATTGAGGAAAGAAATAGAGGGAGAATTAGACGAAGATTTGGGGAAGAAGAGCAAAAACAGGTCGCGACCTATTTGGAGAGAAAAAAAGGAAATTGTGGTTTGAGAAGATACGTTGAACTATTCTGATTATTTTTGTATTGATTCTAATTAAACGACAAAAGTACATTATACAGACTCTACTCTGAAACCCCAAACGACTAAACCTAACAAAATACTAAACTACCCTTGACCCATTAATCGTACCCTCAACAAAAAGAAGTCATGTAAGTTTTCAACTTGATGCCAGGATTTGACGTCAAGCCTAATATGGTAATTTTCACGAGCTTGCTCTTAGCTTATTGCCATGCATGTTTAGTTGAGGAAGGGCTTCATTTGTTTGAGATCATGAAAGTCTGATTCAGTCTTCTCCCTGCTTTGCAGCACTATTGTTGAAGTATGATGGTGTCCTCGATTGGAATAATCAAGAAGAAGAAGTGCAAAGAGCAAAGACAGAATATTGCAGCACGATCAAGATCCACCAACTGATGCTTGAAATGGAATTGGGTTTGAAAATGATTTGTTGCATGGGAAACTTTTCGTGACTTCACCCATTCCTGCTGAGAGGTCGTCGTATCTTTAAGTTACTGTTAGTAGTGTTATTAGTTTATTTACAACTAATGTAAGCTTGCCATTTGTCATGGTAAACAATAAAACTGAAAGTGTCGGTTGTATTTGCTTTTGGTTTATGTAAAAATATAAAAAAACCCAACAATATGCAGGTGAGAAAACTTCGCCATTTCTTCCTTCATTTTCAAGTTTGTTTACATGGTATCAAAGTCCAAAGAGCAATGGTTGATCCTCCTCCAAACAACCGCCAAATACCACTCTTGGCGGTAGTGGGTTAGGCAGCACTAGCTTGTCATTTACATCACCTCTCAAGTTTGGAAGCTACAACAACAATGGCGCCCAATAGATTGAAGGAGGTTGTCCAACAAGTGGCCAGAGATCCAGATCTCCAGATCCGATTTTCGGTAATCCTTTTTACATCAGTCCTAATGAAAATCTCGCACAATCTATTGTACCCATCGTGCTTGATGATCCAAATTACCAAATGTGGGCTAAAACAATGGAGGTTGTTCGCGAGACTAAGTAGAAGCTAGGTTTATGGTTCAATCCCTGCTCTAGATCGATCCTATGAGTTATTTCACATCTGGGATGCTGACAATACAACTATGCCCTGCTGAATTAATAACTCTTTGGACAAAGTGATTACAAAAAGTGTCCAGAACCATGATAATGCTCAGATCTTGTGGAATGAGCTTAAGATCATTTTGGGCAGGCAAATGTCATTAAGCTAGTTAATTTGCAAAATGAAATACACGATTTCAAGCATGGAAATAGAAACATCACTCAATATTACACTCATTTAAACGGTTTATGAGACGATGACAGGCAGTTCAATCATATAGTCCCATGTCATTGTGATCCTGGTAATTTGAATACTTGTACAAAATTTGAAATATTCAGAAAGAAGAAAAATATTGATTATCTAGCCAGATTTCTCAAAGACCTCAATGGTGAATATGGATACATAAGTTCTCAATTACTTACAATGAAACACTTGCCTACAATCATAACTGCATTTGACTACCTACTTTAGCATAAACAAAAGTTGAAGCAGAAGGAAATATTAAGAGCCAGAACCTAGTTTTTTCAGTAGCATTAGTTGTTGGTTCTGAAGGATCACCTCCTAAAGGATATAAACCAAAATGAGAAGGTGAGAGAACATGGTTGTTCTACAATTATTGCAAGAAAACTAATCATGTCTTGATGGGTTGTTGGAAGCTTAAAAAGAAAAGGCAAGAGAAGAAGGCAGGAGCTCGAAACTATTTTGCTGCTTCAATTGGTCAGAACTCTAGCAGTGAAGGACAAGACAATGAAGGGCAGGTGCATATTAATACACGGAGTATCCACTCCCAATCTGGAGGATTTACTATGGAAGAGATGAACAAACTCATAGGTTTATTGTAGTCTTCCCGCTCCAATTCACCCACTTCACCTCGGAGTCTAGTGATCAACCATAGGTCACACTCATTGACAAATTACCTGCCTCAGTTTCCTAATCATGATGAAAGGAGTTGTTCCAACTCCCAGTGTCTTCATCAATAAGGGCCGAAACCGAGGAATCCAATGAGAGCCCGGAGGATGTGAGTGTTTTGATCATGCATAATGTGCTCCTTGTTCCCAGCTTCACATTAAATCTCATGTCAGTTAGCAAGTTAATACATGATCAACCCATCTCGCTTCTTTTTCAATATGTCATTTGCAATATTCATGACCTTATCACAATCAAAATGATTGGTTTGGCAAAAGAAAGTAAGGGTCTCTACCACATTCTTCCATCATACCATAAGCATAGACCATCCACTTACCAAGTTTCTTTTGTCTACAACTTTCAATGGCAGATGATTGACCAATGGCATTGGCGAATAGGTCATCATAGTCAAAGTAGATCACAACTCATTCACAAATATATTCCTAGTATTCCTCTATAAAAAGTTAAACACTGTGAACATTGTCATATGTCAAAACAGAAAAGGCTTTCTTTTCCTTCTAGCAGCAATACTGCATCTACTATTTTTGCTCTCATTCATGTGGATATCTGGGGTCCGCTATCAACCCAATCACATGATGGTTTTCCTTACTTCCTCACTATTGTTGATGCCCACTCTCGAGCTATCTGGATTTATGAAACAAAAATCAAAAGCTAGGTTATTATTAATTGGCTTATGTTCTATGGTTCAAAATCACTTTATCAAGTTTGTCAACAGTAAGGAGTGATCTGGGAAAGGAATTTTATATGTGTGATTCTTACTTAAAAAAGGGCATAGAACATCAAATCTCCTGTGTTTATACACCTGAACAAAATGGGAGGGTAGAGAGAAAGCATCAGGATATTTTAAATATGTTTGGAGTTGTGAGATTTCAATTCGGTGTCCCACTTGATTTTTGGAGTGATTGTGTGCCTCATTTTGTGTACTTGATAAAAAAAGATTGCCAACTCCTATTCTTAACAACAAATCACCCTATGAAATCTAATATCAGGTCCCACCATTTTTTTTGGCAACCTCAGAGTATTTGGTTGTTTGGCTTATGCCACCACTCCTTCACAAGGAAGAACCAAACTGGATGCTAGGTCCAAACAATGTTTTTTTAAGAATTTCCACTAGAATCAAAGGGTATAAGTTGTTTTATTTAAACTCACATAAATTCTTAGTCTCAAGAAATGTCATGTTTTATGAAGACATTTTCCCATTTAAATTTTCTTCTTTAGAAGTGACAAATCAGATTCAACTGGAAACACAAATTCCAGTTTTCCCTACTCTAATCAGTTCATCTGATAGAAATCCATATGTCTAGTCTTATTCCAATAGTCTTCGTAAAAAAATAGTCTTATTCCTAGTAGCACTTCACATGTCAGTATCCCTCTTCCCACTCATCATTCCAATCCCAAATCAAATCTTCCAGATAGCTCTTCATGCAGTGGCAGACCCATGATTGTCAAAGAGGTGTGTCGCCGATCAAATACGATAATAATGAAAAAATTAAATAAAATTTAATTTTATATTAATTTGTAAAGTTCACAATATCATGTTTACAATCACGACGAATTTTCATCAACTGAAATGTCTCTAAAATTCATTCATCACTTATGTTGCAACACAAATCTTTTTCGAATATGCACAACTACACAATCATTCATAAATTGGTCACTCAACCAATTTCGAAGATCGTTCTTGATTATCTTCATAGCAGAAAATGTTATTTCACAGCTTGCATTTGCAACATATAAAGTCAATACCAACTTTAAAAGC